TCCCTTCCTTTCAGTCTTCTCAGCTCGTTCCTACCCATATCCAGTCTCTAAACAATGCAGTATCTCATACCAGTTTTGGGAGCTCTATCTCTGCTTCCACCCTCCCTAGTAGGTTTAAGCAGTCCCATGACTTTAAATGTCATGTGTGCTGATAACACCCACTAAGATCTGTCCTTTGAGCTCCAGATTTACACAAAGTTCTCATTTGGTCTCCTTGGGCATGTTAGAACTCTTGGTTTACCCTCAAACCTGTTTCTTCTCTAATCATCCCCACCTCCGTAAGAGGGACTACCATAGTTGCTCAAACAAAGGTAATTGGATTAATTAGCCCCTCTCCCCCCCCCCCTTTTTTTTTTAAATCTAATTCATCAGCAAGTTATATTTCCAAATTCTGTCTTCAATTTGCCTTTCCCCTCAGGTGTCTAGCCCAGTGTCTGGCACACATGAGACATTGACTGGTTAACAGTCAAATGAATGATGTCATTAGAAAACCAGGGAAATCGGTATAAAAATATGTGGACTCCTTTAAACATGCTGAGGTCATGAAAGACAAAGACAGGGGGACTATTCTCGATTAAAATATTATTTTATTTATTTTTATTTTTAAAATTGATTTCAGAGAGGAAGGGAGAGGGAGAGATAGATAGAAACATCAATGACTAGAGAGAATCATTGATTGGCTGCCTCCTGCACACCCCACCTGGGGATCAAGCCTGCAACCCAGGCATGTGCCCTTGGTTGAAATTGAACCCGGGACCCTTCAATCCACAGGCTGGTGCTCTATCCACTGAGCCAAACCACCTAGGGCTTGGTTAAAATATTTTAAAAAGACATGGTAAATAAATACAATGCATTGAATTCTGGCCTTTTAAACACCAGATATTACAGATATTATAGGGACACTTGGGGAAATTTGAATATAGATGGTATGTAGATAATATTGTATCAGATTTATGATTATGTTGGAGGAGGTCCTTATTTCTAGGAAATACAGATTTTTAGGGGTGATGTGTTAGATACCTGCAACCTATTTTCAAATGGTTCAGAAGAAAAAAGCTTATCTCAGGAGGGAGGGAGGAAGGGAGTAAACAAATGTAGCAAAATGTTAACCATTGGTGAATCTAGGTGAAGAGTATATGGGTTTTCATTGCGTATTCTGTTCATCTTACTGTATGTTAGAAAAATGTCCAAAATAAAAAATTAGAAAAAATCAACAGTGGAGAAGAATTTAAGGAAAAGGTATTTCAGGACAATTTTTAGCTCCTCCCTCCCCCCAAATGCTGAAATCCATTTTGCAGCAACATATTAAATGTAACAACATTCAAGAATACATATAGTTCTAGAGTTGATATAGTTAATAAGAAGGAAATAAAGTCGAGTAGAAATAAAGCCTTTCTGGAAGTTACCCTTTAAAAAAAAAAAAAAAAATTGGGGGTGAAAGTTGATGGTCAACTGCCCACTAGAGGGCAGTGTGTGAGAGTGATTCTGTCCACATTAGCCCCTAAGGACTCTGGTTTTCTTACACACGAGGTCGCTCTTCTCTGCACAAAACATCTTTAGAATTCTCAGACTTTAGAGAGAACATGTAGGTGGTTAGACCGCTTCCTGTTTCTTTTCTTAGATCTGCTTCTAAATCGGGTGGATTTTAGCTTTGGTTCCTGTTTCCCGGAGGCTTTGGAGGGGTCTGGCTATGGGAGATGTATTGATAGGTCTGCCCTCCTGTGTGTCTGCTCAAAAGCCAGTGATATATTTGCCCACTAGGATCTCAGGAATTATATCTATTTGTCACAAACTGGCAAATCATAATCCTACTGCAATTAATCTTTAGGGTTCCCAGGATCTGTTAAAATTCTAGGAATTCCATTCGGGGATTTTACCTCCCTTAGAGCTGTGACGTGCCTTGCTGAGTGGTTGACTAAAAAGGGCCATCTTTCTGCGTGCTTACACAAAAAAAGATGGGTTCATGTAAATGTTGTAGAAATTAAGTGATCAGCCTGTGGCAGGCAGCTGTTCTTTCACCTAACCCGTGGAACCAGATTGTGCAGCTGGGCTAGAATTAAAAATCACCGAGCTTATGGTGTTAGCCCCAGGCTCCTGAGCTGCATATCATTAGGTGAAGGAAGCAGACATGCCCCAAGCTAATTTAGACATTGCCCTCAGGAGTAAGCATTACACTGAGATATAAATAAAAGTGCCTTGGTGGGGTAAGTGCTGAGAGGATTGTTGTCGGTGGAGATGGTGGTATCACTGGTCCTATTTTGGCTCACAACATTAAGTCCTGCATATCAATATTAGGGCAGCATCACCCTCTCTGCATAGCTTGCTCTACCTTCCCCAAATGAATTAAGTTGTCCCTGCTGTGCAGTCCAGGCCATACCCCTCTATTATAGCGCACTACTCATGGTTGCTGATTTACACGTTCCCTCCTGAGGAGAAAGACCGATTACTAATAGATGTGTACATTCTTGCATTTTCTGGTTGCATTTTGGTTTTGCTTATGCTTTTCTTCCTCTGGGGTACTCTCCTTCCTGGGTTTAGGGTTTGCTTCTTTGTTTGTTTGCTTAGTTTGTTTCCTTTCTCCAATACAGTGGCATAGACTTGCTGATGTCTTACACACAAAGCAGAGAAAGGAACTAACCCTCTTCAGTGCTTTCTTTGTATCTAACACTGTTCACTGTTAGGTGTTTTATGAGCATTTTGTCACTTACTATTGCTTTTCTAACAAACATACCAGCTTTCTTCCTGTTATATCTTTGCCCTTTCTATTTCCCCTTCCAGGAACTGTTTTTCCTGAAGTCCTCAAGAAGGTGGCTCCTTTTTCTGCTAACAAACTTGTATAGTTGACAAACCATTCTTCTGAAGTTAATTTTATTACATTGATCATTCCTCTCCTCTCATTGGTGGACAGGATGTCAGGGAAGGAATTAGCTGAGGCCCACTGAGAATCTTTGACCTCCCTCCCCTTCTAGCTGCTCCCCAGTTGATCACTTGATAGTCTAGGATGTCTCAAGGTAGATTACTAATTTTTATTATAATTGCTTTTTTCCTACCTCATTCTAACTGGCATTGTCATTTAGATTCTGCCTCTCCTAGGGGAAGAGGGATTGATTCAGTTCTTTGGTTAGCCTTCTTCTTGAGATGGGTGAACCCAGCATCTTTTAACATATAGTTTTGTTCTTTATAACCCGGAAGTCTAGATCAGACCTTTATAAATAGATATATACTTAGTAAGAAAAAAAGTCTTATTTCTACAGATTAGTGTTAAAACAATGAAACCAAGTGCTCATATTCTGATATACAGTAAAAGCATACTTTAAAAAGTCTTACTGGTCCTTTGAGACTCAGTTCAGGTCCTGATGCCTCAGACATTCTCCACATCTGTAGTAACCAACATTAACCTTTCTTGTTCTGAATTGCTGTGGTCTACAGACTTTAGTTTGGTCATTTAGCTGGAGAATTCTATTTAATTGCTTTGTGTATCTTTAATCTCAGCTGACCAATGAGATGGTCAGATGCCAGTTTCACTGAGGCAGTGTTTTTTCCTTTTTTGCAATGTTGAAAATGTACCACATTTTAAAGGACATTTTTGAAGCAAAATGTCTTTAAAGAATTTATCTTTGCAATTTGAGTTTTATTTACTTTCTTAAATGCAACTTTAAAATTATTCATCTTGTTTAGGTTTTCTTAAATGGATTATTATTTAAATATAAGATTATTATTTTTCCACAGTTTTATTATTCATGTTGTTCTTAGTATTCATATAAGAAGACTAATGTGTTCAGGTACCATGCTCCAAGGAAGTGTTTCCGAAAAGAAAGAATATTAATTATTTCTTGTAGCTTGTCTATAAAAAGCCATTTATGAAAGTACACCAATTTTAATGTTTTATAGAACTTCGTGGTGGATTTCTAGAGTTGCTATACTTAAGTAATTTTCAGCAGAAACCGGTTTGGCTCAGTGGTAGAGCATCGGTCTGTGGACTGAAAGGTCCCAGGTTCGATTCCGGTCAGAGGCATGTACGTTGGTTGTGGGCACATCCTCGATAGGGGGTGTGCAAGAGGCAGCTGGTCGGTGTTTCTTTCTCATTGTCGTTTCTAGCTCTCTATCTCTCTCCCTTCCTCTCTGTAAAAAAATCAACAAAATATATTTTTTAAAAAAAGTAATTTTCAGTCTTCTGTAGAATATTTGTAAAGAATTACTTAATAAGATATCAATTTTTTAATAGTGATAATTGTGTCAGCATTCCTAATTATATGTGGAACTTTCTAATTCTTACCAGAGCTGCTCCTTCCTGGCAGAGTTCAATCATCAGTCTCCCATCAGTAAGGTTAATCCTAATATATAAAAAGCCAGAGGCTGTCATGACCAAAACAACAGGATGGATGACCGAACAGCAAGCTGCTTGGGGAGACAAGGCCGGGAGGTGTGGGGGTGGTGGAGGGGGGGTTAGTGAGGGATGACCAAACGACTGAAAAGCAGGCTGCGTGGTGCGACCAGGTCAGCGGGGGAAGGGGTGTAGTGGGGTTGAGCAGGGGGGACAGTTAAGGGCGATCAGGCTGGCAGGCAGATGAGCAGTTAGGAGCCAGCAGTCCCGAATTGTGAGAGGGATGTCAGCATTGTGAGAGGGATGACAGCTGCTCCCCCTAGGGGTCCCAGATTGGAGAGGGTTCAGGATGGGCTGAGGGACCCCCTCTCCCATGCAAGAATTTCATGCACCAGGCCTCTAGTCCTCTAGTCTCTATATAATGTAATTAAACTGACTCAGTTACTGGGTACCTTTCAGATATGACTGATGCTTGCACCACTAAGAATATTTCATTGTTAAAATTGACCTTTTGAATCAGCCTTTTTTAATCTGCCAGTTATACTTAATAGAAATATTTCTTTTAAAAATTAACCTCCCTTTATTAATGTATTTAATTTAAAAAACTGATTTGGTTATTAAATGTGTGTAAAGCAGAATGCCTTATAAAACTGATGACATTTCTTTTTATTTATAGAGATACTTTCTAGTTGGGAGCAACCATGCAGAAACAAAATACCGTGTTTTGAAAATTGATAGAACAGAACCAAAGGATTTGGTCATAATTGATGATAGGGTAAGTATCTGCAAACGTGAACGCAAACAGAAACTTTGGTACTTGTTTAAAGAATATCAAATGCCGAAACCGGTTTGGCTCAGTGGATAGAGCGTCAGCCTGCAGACTGAAAGGTCCCGGGTTCAATTCTGGTCAAGGGCATGTACATTGGTTGCAGGCACATCCCCAGTGGGGAGTGTGCAGGAGGCAGCTGATCGATGATTCTCTCTCATCGATGTTTCTAACTCTGTATTCCTCTCTCTTCCTCTCTGTAAAAAAATCAATAAAATATATTTAAAAAAATAAAGGCTATCAAATATCCTTACACCTTCTAGTCATATATAATTTTTAATTATGTATCTAAAAATTACAAGTATTTTTCATGGTTGGCTAGAATTTGAATCTCTTATGTGGTTTCTAGAAATTACTGATATCAAGTGGTATAGCAAGTTTGTTTTTCATTTAAAAATATTTTTTATTGATTTCAGAGAGGAAGGGAGAGGGAGAGAGAGATAGAAACATCAATGATGAGAGAGAATCATTGATCAGTTGTCTCCTACATGCCCCACACTGGGGATTAAGCACGCAACATGGGCATGTGCCCTGACCCGGAAGTGAACTGTGACTTCCTGGTTCTTAAGTCGAGGCTCAAACACTGAGCCACACAGCCTGGGGCCAGACCTTTATTTCTCATTTTGATTTGTTTTACAAAGCAAACTCTTTGGATAAGATAAGAATATATTTTCTTAAAGGGATGACATTTTAATAATTCAAACAACTTAATAAGTCTATCTACCGAAGAGATTATTTCTTACTGTGCTTTAATATAAAGGTACTTGAAGTCAGAGAGGACTGCAGACTTTATGATGCTGCTAACAATCACCTGTAAGCCCTCTTCTGATTACTTGCTGTGCACTAGAGAAATGTTAAACTCTTCTTTGCAGATGTTATATTATCCAGAGTCAGGAATACAAGACTCGATTCAGGCAGCACAAAAACATGAGGTTGTTAGTCAAAAGAGAAATGCAGTATGGTGGTGATGAACAGTTAATTTTAGCTCTTTCAAGTGAGAGAGCCTACTTTTGTATTAACGTTCCTGTCTGTGAATTTTTCTGAATCCAAATAATTTCCTGATTTTATTCAAATATATTAGTAGCTTTATTTTATTTTTCATGAATTAGAAAATTTGAACCTATTTTCAATAAGCTCTTGCAAAATTATTTTCTGTGTATAATAATTTTAGATACATACTATTTTGTGATTTCCTGCACTCCTGGTATGGTCTTCTCCCACCCTCAAATATGGGAGTTTTTTAGTAAGATAATGTAATAATTCTTGGCTTTATTTGGGGAGAGGAGTGGTTGATAGGAATCTCTTTGAAAAATCTAAGAAAAGCTATGGCCCCCTTATAAAAATGCACATCTACACATATAACCAAAACTTGACATATAATTTTAAGGGGTTTACAGATTTTTTGAAATTTGGGGATCCTTTAAACCTCTGGTTCAGAAGATAAGGTTTTGATAATTTTTAGTATAGCAACATGACCCACTAACTACTTTCAATTGCTAATATTGAAGAATGTGTTTGCTTTTTAAAATTGTAGCTTAGTCCTGCAGTTATTACATATACTTCTCTGTGAAGTAGCTAATGATTCATATAGGAAACTTTTAATTTTTAGGGGTAAAAAATAAATACTCAATCGAAAAAGTAAGCACAACCTTACAGATTAAGTTTGCTTATTTTCAGCATGTATATACTCCACAAGAAGTGAGGGAGCTCCTTGGCCGATTGGATCTAGGAAACAGAACAAAGATGGGCCAGAAAGGATCCTCCGGGTTATTTCGAGCTGTTTCAGCTTTTGGTGTTGTAGGTAAGAGATGTGCCTCCATCCCCTACCTCTTTTTTTTTTTTTTAAATCTACATAGAATACTTATAGCTTGCAAACCTATATACAGTAGCTTTATAATTATAACCCATCATCTGTGGCATTGGTTGTTTAAATCTTTATTATCCACTAATCAGATATGAAACAGCCTTTATATAATATACTAGAGGCCTGATGCACGAAATTCATGCACTTGGTGATGGGGGGCTTGTCCCTCAGCCCAGCTTGCACCCTCTCCAATTGGAACCCCTTGAGGGATGTCTGAATGATCAGGCCTAAACGGGCAGTTGTACATCCCTCTCACAATCTAGGACTGCTGGCTCCCAACTGCTTGCTTGCCTTTGCCTGATCACCCCCTAACCACTTCATCCTGCCAGCCTGATCACCCCCTAACCACTCCCCTACCAGCCTGATTGATGTCTAACTGCTTTCTGGCTGGGACAATTGCCCCTAACTGCTCTCCCCTGCCATCCTGGTCACCCTTAACTGTCCTCCCCTGCAGACCTGGTCCCCCCAACTGCCCTCCTCTACTGGCCCAGTCAACCCTAACTGGGCTCCCTGTTGGCCTCATTGCCCACAACTGCCCTCCCCTGCAGGCCTATTCTCTCCCAACTGCCCATAACTGCCCTCCCCTGCAGGCCTATTCTCTCCCAACTGCCCTCCTCTGCTGACCTGGTCATCCCTAACTGCCCACAACTGCCCTCCCCTGCAGGCCATCTTGTGGTGGCCATCTTGTATTCACATGGGGGCGACCATCTTTGACCACATGGGGGTGGCCATCTTGTGTCTTGGAGTGATGGTCAATTTGCATATTACTCTTGTAGTAGATAGGATGCTATATGCTCAGCATTGTACTCAGTTTTATATAGGATACGAACAAATAATATAGAAATGGTTAGGGCTTTTGAGGAGTCTGCTGTCTGGCTTGTTGAGGAATGAAAAAGTAAAAATGAGCTTGCACTGTGAACATTTGCCCTGTCATTTATCAGCAGGAAAAAAACAGATACAGGTAAAACCAGCTTTAAAATGGACAGGAATTTCTCCCCAGGGCCTGCTGCAGCATCAAGGTCATAACCCCGTCTTTAAATGACCACTGCTTTCTTATTCACTGAGAAACTTTGTCCTCTAGAATCACAGACTATCTGTTTGCAATTATGTCAATGAGACAAAGCATTCCCTTCTTTCCTGGATGGTGTAAGTCACTTTGACACCGAGAAGCAGCCATGATTTGCAGCTCAGATGCAGGGCTTTGGATAAGGGGTTTCTGGGGACAGTAGTCCACAGCTGTGCTGTTTTTTCAAGGAAATGGTACCCTGAGTTGGCTTCCCAGTCCAGACTTGAAGTTGATCTCTTTACATACAGTCCTGCTGTGGTTGGGGCCTCTTCATTTAAATGTTACCTGACCTCTTCCCTTACACCCTATAATAACTCCTTTATTTATTCATGAATAGATATAGATATGGGTTTGGCCTGTAAGGAGTCTGCGCTCTGGCTTGTGGGGCATTTATGAGTGCCCACAGGTCCCCTGGTGTGCATTGTTCCTCACTGCAGTGAGTTAATGAATCTGTTTCTGCTGCACTGAGGATGTCTCTGGGACGGGGTATTAGGATAATTGGACTAGGATGAGGGACAAAAACCACATGAAACAACTCCAAGAATGTAATTAAGAGCCAAGCTATGCAGTAAAAGTTAAGTGGTGTTGGAGACTATCACATAGGAAGTGGGTTACTTTATCTGGAATGGCCAAGGAAGATTTCCTGGAAAAGTTGAGACTCTGGCTGGATTCTAAAGGAGGAACAAGATTTGTGTGGATGCAGGGAAGAGAGGAGAGAACTCTATTCAGGGTGACAGCAGAGGCATAGACATGAAGATGTCCGCAGGTCCTGGAATGTTAGTGAGTTGTTGGGTGAGGCCAGATTGCTTGGAGCTTGGGCCACCACCAATAGCTAGAGAGTTAGTTTTAACTCCCAAAGCAAAATGTTGGGGGTGAAGGGGCAAACATTTTTTAACCAAGACTATATTGTAACTAGTGTATTGCTGAGCACTTAATCCGACTGAGCATTAGAATATATAGTCTTTCTCACCAATATAGAATTTGACATAAAATATAACTTTATAATGCTCCAACATTCATAAAAAGTTTACCTATCAGAAGTGGTATTTGTGAAAGATTGCATGAAGACTATGCAATTGCTGGGTATATTGTTTTGTTTGCTCAATGCCTCCACTTTTTGGGGACCCACAGGTTGAGAACCGCTGCTGTAGAGCCTGAGACCATAGGAAAACATAGATATTTACATTACAATTCATAACAGTAGCAAAATTACAATTATGAAGTAGCAATGAAAATAATTTTATGGTTAGGGGTCACCACAACATGAGGAACTGAATTAAAGGGTCGGGGCATTAGGAAGGTTAAGAACCATTGGTTTAGAGTAAGATTTTAAGTGTGATAAATGTTATTATAGATTTTTCTAGAGAATAATTCTAAGATAACTGAAAATTTGTATGGTTCCAAACCAAAGAGTGAAATAAAGTTGGAAATATGTCAAAATTATTTTGCCTTTTAAATGTGTGTATAAAAACATTACTAAGTTTAGGAATCATTTGTTTTGTTTGTTTGTAGGTTTTGTCAGGTTTTTAGAAGGCTATTATATTGTGTTAATAACTAAAAGGAGGAAGATGGCAGATATTGGAGGTCATGCAATATATAAGATTGAAGATACAAATATGATCTATATACCCAATGACTCTGTACGAATTACTCATCCTGATGAAGCTAGGTATGTGCTGATGGTAATTACTATTTTTTAAAATGTGTTAGATAAAATAGAAAGCAAAATATAGTCAACAGATTATAAATGTTATGTTAGAAATATAAAATATTGGAATAATTCTACAATTTTTGTTCAAGAGCTATTCAAAACCTCCATTTTAACAGTTGATTCAGGTGAGGATCAACAATGGCTGCTGAAAGCATTAGGTGGGAAGTTATTATTGATAAATAGAATATTCATTCAGTCTCAACATATACTATATGAATCTTTATTATTTATAAAGAGGAACAAAATGGCAAACATACTTAACCAAATGATCAAACTTATCATTAACAAGAATGAGGCAAAACTGACATTTGCTTCTTAATGTGAAACAATAGGAAGGACACAGATTACTTGTATAAGTTTTCTTGCTTAAAATATTTCACTTGAATCTAAGCATGAGGAAAAATCAGACAAATCCATATGGTGGGACATTTGGTAAGACAACTGGTTGGGGCTCTTCAAAAATGTCAATGTCAACAAAGACAGAAAAAGCCAGAGGACTGTTCTAGAATTTAGAACAGACATGACAACCAAATGTAATACTTGAATTTCTGTTGAATTCTGGATTAAAATGTGTGCATGCATGCATGTGCATTTATACATACACACAGAGCTATTAAGGAATTTATTGGAATAGTTTGTATATGGATTGTTATAGATAAGGTAAAATTGAATCAATATAAAAATTTGGTTGTAATAATGATATTGTGATTATTTACAAGATTGTTTTATCATAATAGATATAGGGTGTCCCAAAAACTATAAACACTCTTTAACAGCTGATAACCCACTTAATATTCACCCCTTTTCAGGTTTAAGTGATTTGAAATAATGGGTGAAGCCAGAATAAGAGTTTTTTTTTTCAGACTAAGTTTTGAACAATGAAAATTTATCCTAACGTGCCACTAGACATTTTTTTTTTTATGGGGATACATGAAATATAAAGTTTATGGTACAAAACTGGCAACAGTCGAAGAATTAAGGGCACACAAATACCAAATGCAATAATTTTTTGATGTTTGTGATCCCATTGCTTCACATTATCATCAGTGCTTGGACCAGAACTGTCATCAGCTTGGAAATAGGCATTGACAAAAAAAAAAAAAAAAAAAAAAATTGATTCATTCTGTAGATTCTTTTAAAATTTGAAAATAAACTGTATGCTAATAAATACTGACTTTGTAATCATTCAAAATGTATATACATTTTTGGGGACACCCTGTATGTACTAAAATATTTAGGAGTGAGGTGTCATCATGTCTACCACTTACTAAAAATGTTTTAGAAAAAATTGTGATAAAAAATCTTTAAAAAGTTAAAATTAATATGGAAAAATTTTAATATTTATTGTGAGTGGTAGATATATGGATATTTTTAAATATACTTTTTTTTCAATTTAAAACACTTTTCAATCTTTTCAATGTAAAGTTATGGTGGTTCAGAAGCATTTCGGTTACTCTCCTATCTCCAACTTCAAAGCATTTGCAAAGCACCTGGTAAAAACAAGTCCAAGTGCCCCATGCAAATACATGATTTTCTTTCTGTGGTATAATCAGTGATGAGGGAATGGTCCAATGTAAGGTTAGGGTTCTCTGAAGGGATGATCAACAAACTTAGAAATTGCTTCAGCCCTAGCCTTTGGCCCAGTGGATAGAGCATTGGCCTGAAGACTGAAGGGTCCCGGGTATGATTCTGGTCAAAGGCATGTACCTTGGGTGTAGGCTTGATCCTCAGTCAGGGTGCATGCGGGAGGCAGCCAGTTAATGTTCCTCTCTCACATAGATGTTTCTCTCTCTCTCTCTATTTCCCCCCATCCCTTCACTCTCTCTAAAAATCAATAGAAAAATATCCTTAATTAAGGATTAACACACACACACACACACACACACAGAAATTGCTTCAGATGAAATCTTTAGTCCAGTTATGGATTGAATTGCTCAGTTTTAATGAGTATATTTACAAATGTACATTTGAGTATATGTTAAGATATGAAAACATAATAGTAATATGCTTTTTTTTTTTTTAGATACCTACGAATATTTCAAAATGTGGATCTATCTAGCAATTTTTACTTTAGGTAAGCTTGATCTTACCTTTTCTCCTTTCAGCCAATTAAATGTTTAGGAGGTAAAAACAGAATCAGAGGACACATCAGTACTTTTTGTATTTTTTTTTTTAAGTGGCCAACAGTAAAACAATACGAAGTTATAATAGAACATCACGATAGAGTATTATACTTCCACTGATGTGACCAGTACGTAGGCCTAATAAATACAGAGTTGTGTTAAGTGGAAAAATCTATCAGAATACGGTCAAAACTAAAAGTAGAACACAAAATGGCATGCACCAGCTCGGACCTGAGTCACAGGGACCAAAAGAGGACCTAGAGTGTTATAGCTATTGGTGTCATATACTGAATGGGGTACTTTGCATTGTTTTAAAGTTGTTAGTGTAATTAAGCGTTTACCCATGAAATAACTAAAACATATCTACTATGTAAGAGTGGTTTTGTCTTCACTGATGTAAAACCCTGAAGGAAGTTAATTATTTGAAAGTAGGACTGTGTCTTGAAGGGCTCTTAAAGAAATAATTTTCACTTCCACTAATGTTTATTGGGTGTAGAGTTCATTGTATTTGTCTCAATCATCTGTTTTTAGTCTTTATTGCTTAATTTTATGTTTATAGCATCTGTGAGTTAATTTTGAAGCTTGGTGGTTTTTCTCTTCATGTTTTTCAACTTTGTCTGCATCCCCATTTTGACTTGTGACTGAGTCATTCCATTAGTAAAAATATGTAGTAAAGTTTGTGTGTCTCATAAATAAGCTTTATTTTTTTTAAATCAATGAAAATTATTTTTATTTATTTTATTTTTTAATTTTTTTTAATTTTTTAATTTTTAATATATTTTATTGATTTTTTTTGCCCCTCTCCCTCCCTTCCATATATACCCTCCCTCCCCAAAGTTTTATGTCTATTGGTTGTACTTCTATGCATGTACATAAGTAAGCTTTAAAAAGCACGATACTAAAAGTGTCGGCCTGTGGACTGAAGGGTTCCGGGTTCGATTTCGGTCAAGGGCGTGCTCTTCGGTTGCAGGCTCCTCCCCAGCCTGGGCCCTGGTCAGGGCTCATGCAGGAGGCAACCAATCGATGTGTTTCTTTCACAGCAATATTTCTCTGTCTTTTCCTCTCTCTTACACTCTTTCTAAAAATCATTGAAAAAATATCCTTGGGTGAGGATTAAAAACAAACAAATAAATAATACAACACTATACTACATTCTTAAGATTTAGCTAGCATAAAGCAATTGTTTTAAATAGGAAGAATTTATTGTTTCAAGTAAAAAACTTCTTCCACCCCCCAGCTTCATTGAGATATTGACATATAAAATTAAAGTATGCAATGTGATGATCACATATATGTATATACTGCAAAATGGCTACCACAATAAGGTTAGTTGACACATATTACCCCTTGCATAATTTTGATTTTGTGTGTGTGGTAATATTTAAGATTACTCTTAAGTTTCAAGTATATAATTCATATCATTAGTTATAGTTACCGTGCAGTGCATTTAATCCCCAGAATTTATTTGTCTTACAGTAGAAGTTTTTACCCTTTGACCAACATCTCCCATTCCCACTACCAACTACAACTCTACTATATATTGGTCAGTTCTTTTATATTCTGCATATAAGTGAGAACATACAGTATTTGTCTTTGTCTGACTTATTGGGTCTAGTAATAATTAATGTCGTTTTTAAACATTCGTTTAAAATCTTGCTTGGTGTTGACTTGTATTGACATAACCTTCAAACACGTGGTATCTACAGAACGTGTGAAGTGCAATTAACAAGTTTTGCTTGAAAAAGTTTGTGTTTGGTTTGGTTTTTGTTGCAAAACTAGGGCTAAGATGATGGCGGATGAAGAGCATATTCGGCACTGCATGCTTTACGAGTTCCAATTAGGAAGAAAAGCAAGTGAGGCTGCAAAAAACATCTGTAGTGCTCTTGGTCAAGATGCAGTTAGCGCCAGAAAATGCCAGAGTTGGTTTGAGAAATTTCGCGAGGGAAATTTTTCGTTAGATGACAAGAGTGGTCGAGGCCGTGTGTCCAATTTTGATCAAGAAGCTCTTCAAGCTCTTTTGGTGCAAAATCCTCAAATTACCCAACAAGAGCTTGCGACAACTTTAAATTGTTCACGAAAAACAATTTCCAATCAATTGTGTGCACTTGGCAAAGTCCAAAAGTTTGGAAAATGGGTTCCTCATGAGTTGACCGACAACAACTGTAATCAAAGAGTCACAATTTGCAGTTCGCTCCTCTCTCGTCAAAACCGTTTGCCGTTTTTAGAGCAAATTGTTACCGGAGATGAAGAGTGGTTGCTGTCTGTTAATTTGAAAAGGCGGCCTCAATGGTTGGACAAAAATGAGGCTCCACAGCCCACGCCAAAACCTGACTTGCATGCGAAAAAAGTGATGTTGTGTGTTTGGTGGAATTTTAAAGGAATTCTTCATTATGAACTTTTACCATCTAACCAAACCATTACAAGGCAGTGTATAGTGCCCAATTGGAAAGGTTAGCCGAAGCTTTAAGAGAAAAAGAACCCGCACTGATTAATCAGAAGGGCGTAATTCTTCACCACGATAACGCAAGACCGCATACTGCAAGAATCACTGCTGAAAAACTGCGCCAGTTGGAATGGGAAGTTCTCCCTCAACCTGCATATTCTCCTGATATTGCCCCTTCCGATTACCATTTGTTTCATTCTTTGCAAAACTTTCTTCTTGGAAAAAATTTAATAATGAAGAATGCCTCAAAAATGCATTGACGGATTTTTTTGCATCAAAATCACAAGAATTTTACAACAGAGGGATTAAAATGCTTCCTGAGCGTTGGGCACAAGTAGTAGAAAACAACGGCAACTATATTGTTGATTAAATTTTGTTGTATTGTTTAAATAAATTCGATTTAAAAAAGTATTAGAAAACGACATTAATTATTACTAGACCTAATATTTCACTTAGCATAATGCCGTCAAGATCCATTCATGTTGTTACAAAAGGCAAGATTTTCTTTTTCTAGCTGAATAACATTTCATTATGCATGCATGCACGTGTGCCTGTGTGTGTTTGTTCACATCTTTATATATTCATTCGTTAATGGACTCTTAGGTTGTTTACACATCTTGGCTATTGCAAATAATCCTGCAATGAATATGGAGGTGCAGATGTCTTTTTGAGATAGTGATTTCATTTTCTTTGTATATATACCCAGATATGAGCTTGCTGGATCATATGGTAGCTCTACTTTTAATTTTCTTGAGGACTCTCCATACTGTTTCCCATAGCAGCTAGACCCATTTACATTCCCACCAACAGTACAAAGGGTTCCCTTACCATCCTCGCCAGCACTTGTTTCTTGTCTTTTTTACATTCTCACAGGTGTAAGGTGGTTATAATTTGCACTTCACTGATGTGATGTTGAGCATGTTTTCTTAATTTTGTGGGCTATTTTTATTCTTTGTCTATTCAAATCCTTGCCCACTTTTATTTGGATTGTTTATTTTTTGCTATTGAGTTATATGAGTTCCCTGTGTATTTTAGATATTAATCCTTTATCAAATAGATGGTTTGCAGGTATTATTTTTCCCTATTCCATGGTTGCATTTTTATTTTGCTGACTTTCTTCTGTGCAGAGCTTTTTAGTTTACTATTTCTGTGAAAAATGTCATTGGAATTTTGATAGGGATTGCACTAAATCTATAGATGTCTTTGAGTAATATGGGCATTTAAACAGTTTTAATTCTTCTGATCCATGAGCACAAGATATTTTTCCTTTTACTTAAGTCTACTTTAATTTCTCATCAATGTCATAATTTTTAGCATACAGAATTTTCACTTCCTTGGTTAAATGTACTCCTAAGTATTTTATTTTTTTTCTGAGATCGAAAAACCAATGTTTTTATCCATGTGAGATTAGATGGTAGTAAAATTAGAATTGTGGTATCATCAGATAATTTGGTAAAATTGAATTTCACAGAAGTAATAAAATCAATTTCAACAAGTTACATGAAAAATTAAAGATGAAGTAGTGATTGAAATAATGTGTCTTAAAATATGACTAAAATATTTTACAGATTTGTATAAACATAAAGAAGTCTTGATACCTTTTGAAATTATGTGCTAAAATACATATAACTAGAGATACTCATAAAAATTATTACTTATATCAAATAAGTATTTAAAGGGTTTCTTTTGGCTTAAAAGCCAAATTTTATTTACACAGACTGTTCAAATTATTTATAATTATTTGGGTGGCTGTTACTTTCTAAAACATGTTTCACTATAATGGCTTATGCTATATTCTTATTCCTTTTTAATAAAAAAGTTAGTTTTGATACCATCATTAAAAATGAATAGAATTCTTTTTGTTCACAGTTAAACTGGAATACAGACCATGCACTGTTGTAGTGGATATTGTAACATCAATAGAGCTCGATTCAGATATACATGAGAGTGTGACACCTCTGCATAAGGCCATGTAGTTAGATTGATTTCAGTGTGAAGCAAAAAAATGCACATTGCAAATCAATGAGTGTAGGTTACTCATGTTGTATTGTATGTTTCTAGTCATGCACAGGCCTAAGTCATGCAGTGATTTTTAAATTTCCAATTATATTTATGATTCACTATGTTTTACAGTGCTTATTTGGACAGCATTGCCTTTAGGTATAGTAACAGTTGCTAAGTAATTTAGTTCACAGTTTTTAATTCCATATGGGAGCCAAAGGCTGTGAAATATCTTTTGCTTTAGTAATTCTTATTAAATTCCAGTTCTGTTCTTAGTTACAGCTATGATTTGTCCCACTCACTTCAATATAATCTCACTGTCTTGCGAATGCCCCTGGAGATGTTAAAGTCAGAAACGACCCAGTCTCGCTCGGAGAGTTTTGACATCTTTGAAGATGAAGGATTAATTACACAGGGTGGAAGTGGTAGGTGGTTTTCAGCACATCTACTCTTTGTTAATGTGGGCCTCCATGAAATGGCATCTCATTAAATTCACTCACATTTTCCTCATATATCTCCATCCCTCGTTGCCCTTTGTCCTTACACGAGGTTGTCTCAGATATATGAACTTGACCAATTCATTTTCATAGAGATCGTTAATCATCAGGTGATTTTGTGAGCCAGCCAGAAAATTTTATGCTGACATTTCATAGCCAATTTTTATGTACTTTTTATGGAATGCATTCAGGTCTATACTTTGATGAAGTTAAAATAAGGGAAAATAAGGAATTTTGTTTTTAATTATTGGAATATTCTCACTACCACTCTCTTTTTCCCCCTACCCTCTCACCCCATAGTGACCAGTTAAATATGGGCTGAATTTTAGGGGGAAAATCACCATGGGTTATTTATCATGTCCTAGACATTTATATACAAAACCCCTAATCCTCATAAAAACTGCTTAGTTGGTAAAATGCACTTTCGAAGAAATAAAGACTAAGTAGGAAACTGAGGCCTGAGATTAACATCACATAACCAGTGTCCAGGAGCAGCTCAGAGGCTATTCTTACTGTGGTCCCAGCTTGACCCACTGGTCCCTCATAGGCTTTGCTTCTGTCAGGACCACGCAGGACCATTGTGTGACCAGTCTAGGATGACCCTGGAGATCCTGGAATCCGTAGCTTTGCCCCTAGATTTTTGAGTTGGTCTAGAACTCTAAAGCCAGAAGCATTGCTAAAGTGAATGTTGTGAGGGAATTGTTTCAGACCTAAAGCCAAGACAGTTTAGCTGAATTGAACTTACTATGGGATATGTAGTAAGTCAGGAGTGTCTTGGGAGCCCTGTTCTGTGCAGCGTAAGTGAGAGTGATGAAGATGTGGGTATAGGAGGTAGAATGTAATGTAAAGTTCCAGGAGGTGTGTCCTTGCAGGGCCCTCAAGAAGAGGCAGTGGTCTATTCGCACTTTGCCAAAGGTTCTGGTCCCCTCTAAGAAGACTTAGGCTGTTACTAACACTGAATGTCATTTCTGTCGTGGCCCTTAACTGTTGTTAGTTTATTAGATTTACTATCACTTGAGCTAAGATCAAACCCAGTGCACCCTCCCTCCCTACCCCAGAACATCCAGATCACACAAATTTGCCCTGATTCAGATCTGTGAATTGTAACCTACACTGCTAGAGACAGGTGGAGAGTAAAATAATGGGTGCCTGAATATTTGCTTGTATTATTTCTTCTAAATATCGCCCTTGGTAATAGAAAATCTAAAAGTAGTAGTAAATTTGCACTACATATCATTCTAAATAAAAATTGAATATCTGTCTGGGATCTGAATTAAGCCTCTGAAGCCACTTCATTTTTTACTATCTCTAGAGCAATTGTACTTGATAGATATGAGTAACAGTGTGTGTTAGATTTTTATAGATGTTGTAACAAATTACCAAAACTTAATGGTTTAAAACTATACAGATTTACTATCTTATGGAAGTCAGAAGTCCAAAGTAGTTCTCAGTGGACTAAAATTTGGGTGTGGGCAGAGCTGGATTCTTTTCTTAAAATTGTAGGGGAAAGTTTGTTTTCTTGTCATTTCCATCTTCTAGAAGCTTCCTGCATTTCCTGGCTCATGGCACTGTTCTGTCCTCAAAGCCATCAATGGGCAGCCAAGGTTTTTCTCATGTTACATCGTGATAACACTTCTGTTTTCCTCTTCATTTATAAGGACCCTGATTACAGTGGACCTACCTGGGTAATTCAAAATAATCTCCCCATCCCAGTGTCATCTGATTAGCACATATGATTTTATTTAATCTGAACAGTATCTCAGAGGTGAATAGTAGTAGTATTATCATTTTACAGTTTGGCAAATTGAGTTTTAAAGATGTTAAGTAACTTGTCATAGGTCACAGAGCTGATAAGTGGCAAAGACAGAACTCCAATCCATGTCTGTGTTATACATGCTCTGTGTAATGCCTTAAAAGGTCAGAGAAGAGTTAATTTTTATGAATCAAAGCAAGTGTATTTGTCATAGTGTATACACTCTTGCTGAATCTTGTTTTGAGAAGAAAAATAATATTGATTACCTGCTATCTAGAACTGTTGCAATATTTTAAACCATTATCTTATAAATATATTTATTTCTTATTTTGCATTTCATAGAACTTTTGATGTTCAATAAATGCATCTAGATATGCTGAAATTGTGTTTGATCAGATTAAACATTATATAGAAAAAGCCTCGTATAATTCACTAAGGCACCAGGTGTGTTCTCAGGCCTTTATGTGCACTATCAACGTAGTTCATCTTTACAGCAGCCACATGATATAGGTACAAATGAGGAATTAGGCACTGAGATAGCAAGTGACACTTTTGTTCACACCTGTCATCTGCTGAGCCAGGATTGGGAACCAGGCACTCTGAACCCTGCTCTGAGCTACCTCTCAGTCTTATTCATGTATTTGTTTGTGTCCTTAATTTCTCTATCATTGTCTTTTCTCTTAGGTTAAAAATGCTCACAAGTCAGAAAATGTGTTTACTCTTGGACTTTGTGTAGTATGAGCACAATGTTCCAGACAATTATATGAATTATATCCACTGAAAAATGGCAATGCTATTAATCAGCCATTTTTTTCTGAAATTAAAAACAGAAGTTTAAGGTCTTAAAAATGAGCTGAATGCCAACCAATTTCCTCATCTTTCTGATACCGACTTTTATTTTTCAGGTGTTTTTGGGATCTGTGGTGAGCCTTATATGAAGTATGTGTGGAATGGTGAACTTCTGGATATTATTAAGAATACTGTGCATCGTGACTGGCTATTGTATATTATTCATGGGTTCTGTGGGCAGTCAAGTATCCTTTTAAAAAAAAGATTAGGACATGCAATATTAACCTCATGCTGTACCAATTTGTAGAAAGCTATCTATGAATTATAAGATTATAATCATCATGCTGTGTGCCCAGCTGGCAAACTTACCCACAATGCCATGTAGTAAAAATACAAAGAGGAATATAGGTCACTTGAAAAGATCTATTATGTACACAAAAAGATAAAAAATAAGGAAGAAAATGCAATGTACATTGTAAGTTATGTGGTAATAGTATCATTCTTATCTGAGAAAGGGAGCAGAATCACAGGTGGGAGGATGGGGCAGGCTCACAGGAGAAGGTGAACTTGGCCTGGGCCCTAAACAAAGCCAGGCCTTAGCAGTGAGCAGAGAGTGAGACTGTGGGTTGAGGGAGCACTGTGAGGGGGAAAGTTCATGGGCGTGTTTTTGTGGCTGGTGTTTAAACCCCATGGGAGGTACAATGAAGTAGGAAGGGTTTGGTAGGAGGGACTCAAATAGTCAGTCACCAGATTGCTTTGGTGGTCAGATTATGGACTTTGATGCTAGAACTTTTAAAAGTTTTTTCCAGGAAGGTGATGTATAATAGGAAGCTTGAGTTGACAGCGATTTTCAAGCTATTAAGTGAAATTCGACTAGAAAAAGGGATATGAGTTAGGAAAAATTGCAGTGGTTCAGGCATAAGGTAAGGAAAGCTGGACTGGAAAGGGATAGGATACTAGAAGTAGCCTTGGGTTAAGGTGGTGAATTCAATTTTATAAATACTTTCCCCCCTCTTATTTCATTTTCTAGCTATGTTGAAAACTTTTCTTTCCTGTGCTTCATAGGGGATCTCAAAAAGATCCTCCCCACAGTCTGACTATAACTAGAAAGTGGTGTTTAGGTTTTCCTCACACCCTTTTGAAATCACATAGGGGATTTGTGCACATAGCTAGTTGACATTCTTCCTTGTGTCTTAGATTTTCAAAGACCTATTTTAAAGATGAAAATAGCATAATAGATTATAATGTTAAAGCTCATTACTTTAAATGATGAATCTATCTCCTAGTATCAAGCATTTAATGAATTCTGGAAGTTTCTATGATGATCAAATTTCTTATTACTTATTAAACATTTTCTACAGGCCACACATTACTTTTATATACATTACCTGACCTAGTCCTCCCAACTTAATAAAATTAGTTACTTTATTAGTACTTATAGCATTTTACAGAAAATGAAACTGAGGCTGAGAAAGTTTAATGAGGTGACACAGCAATACTAGAAAACTGTACATTGGTTAAACAATTCACAGCTTTCAGTTTTTGCAGTTAGGTGACAAATTTGAATCACTTTCATACTCCATTCCCTGAGTATGATATAGTGCTTCATAGTTTAAATAGCCTGGTAGGTGACATGTGCTCTCTTTGAGGGTTGTATGACCTCTGAAGACTAAGGAAGGATTCGTTGTACCTATTTACATCCTTTAGTTGGTACAAGGACAGGCCAGGGCTTCCTTTGAGCAGTATTCCTACACCCAGTTACCATTTCCTCTGAAATTCTTGGAAACCACTTTTTAGGGAGGTCTGTTTTTGCCTTAAATACCTGCACCATTCAGATGAACAGTTGGACCCGGTGCAGTTCATAATTGGGTGTAGCTTTTGGGCATTCTTTAATCTACTCAACAAGATGTATTTAAATGTGTATTGAAGGTATAATGATTCTCTTGGTTTGGTGTGACTGTCATGAATGCTGAAGAGCTTTAACTTGATTTCTAAGAGCTGTTGATCTATGGTCGACCAGTGTATGTCACTCTAATAGCTAGAAGATCCAGTAAGTTTGCGGGGACCCGTTTTCTCAAGAGAGGTGCAAACTGTGAGGTAAGTGCTGCTAGCATTTTAACCTTTTACATCAACTTTCCTGACAGATGAAGCGAAGAAGAATTTTAGAAAGTGGAATGTCTTAGTTTGGGACATTATCAAGAGAATAGTTTTCCAGGGTATCTGAAATTTGTGAGAAATATGACATATGCAGATGTGCTGAGGAATCAGTTGTCTTAGAGCGAGTTATGCAACATTTCAGGGAGTTATGAAATGGCTAATGCTTTGGAGGATGAACCTTTTCTGTCATATTTAGTATGTAGTGCATATTTAGTACAGAGACTAAAATAGCAAAGCACCTTCACCTAAGGAATAAGTGAAGGGAGCGCTTGTTGGAGGTGCATCCTGGGTAAGAAGAATAAGGAGAGGAAGGCATGGGAAACTGTTCACCCTCTTCTCTTTGCTTTAGCTTGGCTCAAGGCAGAATCCTTATTCTGTTCACACTAGAAAAGCAACAGAAATTCATCTATTCTGCCATCAGTCATGGAAACCCCATTGAGTGTGCCATCTCTATTTTCAATAGACAATTTGTCTTAGACAGATATATGATGTTTGAGTAGACAGAGTGAGTGAGACATTGGGTTTTGATCCTGATTTAAAATAGCAACATTGTTTTTAAAATTATATTAACAATGAAAATAGTTTTAAAAAAATCATAATTTTGTAGTTATAATATTTACTTTCGAATAGTCATAGGGTAACCCAACAGACATGTTTTTAATGCCTTTGAAATTATTTTTTTGTCATATCCTTATAAACCTTTTATAGATAAAGCCACCTCAGGACCCCTTTTTTATTTCTTCTGTCCATCACATGTTATGTGACTCTCACTCTTGTTCTTTAATTTCTCCTTGGTTCTCAGAATTGAATTTTTATATTCCACTGGTCTTCCTAACCTCCTATGCAATTCAATGTAATTGTTTTCCCCCCTCTCCATTTCTGCCTTTTGTATCACTCAAAATGTTCTCCACTATTTGTATTACTGGCTATTTTATTTCATTTTTCCTAGTCTATTCTCTGTTATTTTTAATTGCCTTCCTTTATTGCATTATAATGGTTTTCCTTTTCTAATATACACAATGAAAATTTATCAGCATTTATCTCTCTCAAAACATTCTAAGAATAGGAATTATAATTTGTGTGCTTGAAATTTTTTTCATTAAAAATGTCTAAGAGCCCAGCCAGGTGTAGCTCAGCAGTTGAGCATCTACCCAGGGAAAAAAGAGGTCATGGGTTCGATTTCCTGTCAGGGCATAGTCCCAGGTTGCGGGCTCAGTCCCCAGTGGGAGGCATGCAGGAGGCAGCCTATCAGTGATCTCTTTCATCATTGATGTTTCTATCTCTCCCTCTACATTCCTCTCTGAAATGAATAAAAATATATTTTAAAAAAATGTCTAAGCACATTAAATATCTTTCATGTGTCTTTCTTTATAGGGTGATGTTGCAAATGAAGTGGAGACTGAACAAATTCTCTGCGATGCTTCTGTGATGTCTTTTACTGCAGGAAGTTATTCTTCTTATGTACAAGTTAGAGGATCAGTTCCTTTGTACTGGTCTCAGGATATTTCAACTATGATGCCTAAACCACCTATTACCTGTGCGTGGAACGATATTTTTAATAGTAACTCTTCTTTCTACACATTTAGAGACAATTGACTATTATCAGAGAAATCTCATAAATGCTTCTGTTTTGACAAAGTTTTAGTACTAGAAAGAAGATAATTTAGAAGATAATTTTGTTATTTCATACATATATTTTTCTTTTATTTTTGGCTGCTAGTAAATTGCTTCAGAAATGTAAGAAATCGTTCAAGTTCAATATATGAAGAATGAGTGTGTTGATAAGCTTGAGAAGAATTTGGGAATGGAACTAGTGGATTAGTTGAATTGCATTTCTGTAAACATTAAGTAACAAAACAAAACCTTTACTTTGTTCTTGCTTTATAGTTTCCATTCTGGTATTTATTCTTTCCCCTTTTTTTCTCCCTAGTGGATCAGGCAGATCCATTTGCACATGTGGCTGCCCTTCACTTTGACCAGATGCTTCAGAGGTTTGGCTCCCCCATCATCATCTTGAATTTAGTGAAGGTATGATGTGCTCACCTTTGTGGTTATGAAATCAGTCCCACTGGGCAGCCTTTTCCCCAGCACCGAGGGGTTTGACAGGCTGGCGTTACTTCTCCCCGGAGGAGAGACTTGTAGACTTAGCTCGCTCTGATGGATTTCTGTGTCTGATCTGTCTGAGCTGCTGTCCTTTGACTTCAGATTATGTGGCCTCTTCTGTGGGTGCCAGAATCAGTGATAGGTTTCCAAGGGAAGAGTGTGATGTGGTGTGTCAGTCTCCTGATAACCTCGAGTGAGCTAGATTTGGGTGACAGTTTGCCTTAGTTTCCAGGGCAGCTTGGAGAAGGAGGTATGGAGATCAAACAGCCGCAGCCCAGCCTTGATACAGCCAGTTCCCTTGATAATCAGAAGATCTCCTAGGCAAGTTAATACATAGTAATAGAACCTAAAGGTTAGATTCAGAGATTGGGGTGCTGCTGTGGCTCAAGAGCAAGTGGACAAAGTGGTGGCATAGCCCGCCCCCTAGTTCTCTGCTTCCTTGTCTGAGTACACTTGTTTCTCACTGTATCTTGTGTATGAGTAGGTCTGCAGGATAAAGGTCTAGGATGGAGGACAGGTAGACCAGATAATAACTTGTATCTGTATTTGTTGCAATGAAGTGAATTGAAAGAATCTAAGAAATTTCATTTTCACGTCTCTCCCCCATCAACTGAGAACAATATAAGGCAATAGCTGGATGATCTGTAACTTCAGCCTAGTATTGAACAGTAGCTATAATATACATAATTGAAAAATTAAGTAAGACAGCTCTAATAATAGAGACCGTCATGAACACTTTTCTAGCAAATGTATAGAAAATAACATGTTGATAGTATAAAAATATATTATTGCTAAAACACTAAATTATAAGATATTATTGGAATATAAACGTTCACCTAAATTGTAGATATTCTTTATGTTATAGACTACTGATAGTTGGTTAGAAGCTATAGTTAAATGGAGATTCAGACTATGACCTTTGAAATAATTCTCTATTAAATATACAGATTCAGGAAATGATACATGTGATTTGTAAAGTGTTCTCTTGTCCAGATTTCTCAGAAGTACATTTGGTTTTTGTTTTTGTTTTAATATTTAAAGGCCAGTCTATTTTTCCATTGTCATAAAAATCCTGACAATAACTAAAGATTAACTAAAAATAGTTTGGAGATTAAGTGACTGACTTGTGAAATAGAAATAAAATGTTGTTGTTTTTGTTTTTACTTTATTCGTAGGATAAAAGAGGATATTTATTCATTTCACTGGCAAGACAGCCTTACTAACTTGTGATTAAGGAGTCAAAGAATGTGTGTGTATAGAATGATACCAAGGATTTACTCTTTATTCTGCCTCTATATGAAGTTACTAAAGTGAAATAGTTTCCTTAAGTTCTTTTCTCTTTTACCCTATGTTGTGAGCTCCCCACCTCTTTTTAAAAAATATATATTTTATTGATTTTTTTACAAAGAGGAAGAGAGAGGGATAGAGAGTTAGAAATATCAATGAGAGAGAGTCATCCATCAGCTGCCTCTTGCACACCGCATACTGGGGGTGTGCCCGCAACCAAGGTACATGCCCTTGACCAGAATCGAACCTGGGACCTTTCAGTCTGCAGGCTGACGCTCTATCCACTGAGCCAAACCAGTTTCAGCTAACCCCCACATTTTGATTGTGGGAATTTGAGGCACTGGTTGACAGACATTTTGCAGCAATCCATACGCCTTCAATGCTGCTACAGGGATCTATAGAAAGTCAACCTGAGATCAAGCATAAATGTACATCAAAGGTTTTTAATCGGGGCCCTGGATGGCCATTAGAGGGGCTCGAATCCTTTGAAATGTCATGCAAAATCACTTCTAAATGTGAAGTTTTCATTTGGTCGTTGAAGGGGTCTGTGACCCTAAGAAGGTTGACTAGCCCATCCACTACCACTGTGGGCAGACAGTGCATAAAGCAGATTCTTTGCATAGAGATGATCAAAGGTTGATTAAATAATCTTTTCTGTCTATCTCATAAAATGTCAGATTTGACATAAAATTTTAAAAAGTTTTTGTTTCCCTAGTTGATTAAGTGTTTTTGAGAAAAATTCCAGATATATAATTTATTTTTTTCAGATGCAAAAATAAGCTAAATATGCGTATCCTAAACAGTGATATAACACTGTTTTAAATTAACTCTTTTCTAACTTCCCCAGTTGATTTATTTAGCTGTACAAAATAGATACTCTTTTTTGTTTCCACAGTGGTTATCTAATTAATTTCATGACAACTAAAAAGTAATCACACGTGAGTGAGAGCATGTCATACTTGTCTTTCTCTGACTAGCTTATTTTGCTTTTCATAATAATCTCCGGGTCCATCCATGCTATCACAAAGGGTGAGAGCTCCTTCCTTTTTGCAGCCACACAGGATTCCACGGTCTGTAGATGTACCACAGCCTTTTAATTTTCATAGGCAGGTTTCATGTCAGTGTCTTTAAGACGTAGGCTTTTTGTCTTGTCTTGTGTGAAAAGCAAAAATGTTAGAACTCTGTTCCTCTGACTTAAAGTGATTAGAACACTGAACATGTTTACTATCTGACAAAGGAACGAGAGAAAAGAAAGCATGAGAGAATTCTGAGTGAAGAACTTGTAGCTGCTGTGACGTACCTCAACCAGTTCCTGCCTCCCGAGCACACCATCATTTACATTCCTTGGGACATGGCCAAGTACACCAAAAGGTGAGCAGATAATAACCTGTCTGGTTGTGATAGTTTCCTTTTCTTGTGACGTCAAAGAGCAGAAAGCTGATCTCTATGGTAAAGTAAAAGTTACTCTTTCAGTTCTCTTTATGAGCCTGTTGAAGGGCTGTTGAGAGCTTAAATTAATAGACCAATTCTTTTTTTTTTGGTCCACTTTAAAAAATATATATATTGTTTTTATTGATTTCACAGAGGGAGGGAGAGAGAGAGAGAGATAGAAACATCAGTGATGAGAGAGAATCATTGATTGGCTGTCTCCTACATCCCCCCCATCCCACCCAATGGGGACTGAGCTTGCAATCCGGACATGTACCCCTGACCAGATTAGAATCCAGGACCCCCAGTCCACAGCCTACACTCTAGCCACTGAGCCAAACCAGCTAGGGCTTCTGGTCCTCTTTATACTGTTCATAAATTCTTTTTGCACTAGCTAGTCATTTCAGAAGATCTCTACTCCACTCCTTTTCCATAAGGGCACTCATTTCACTTTTTTCTATTTTATTTTCTGGCCCTGTTGAGTCGCTTTCTCTGACACCTTTCAGATGATCTCACTCATGGATGAACCTGCAGTAGCTCCCCAGTGTTTATAGTAAATCTACACTACTAGATTCATGTTAAAACTCATTACCGGGTTGGTTCCAGAATGTAATAATGTTTTTATTCCCTGGGCTGTTCTGTTCCTGAAAAACTGAAATTCATGCTCTGCCCCAAATGTGGCAGCCAGGCTCCCATTCTTGAGTCTTTGTTCTTGTTATTCCCCTCCTGCCCCCATTTCCTTCACTTCCACCAAGGGTACATTCCCACTTCTTTTACTTGTCATGATCCAATTTAGAACATTTCCAAGGAACTTTCTTTCATTAACTTTGCATTGTCTTTTTACTCATTAACTAGGCATCAGACAAACAGTGGGTTTATTTTGAGGTTTTTAAAAAATACATTACTTTATTGTTTTGCATTTAACTCATTATACCTTTTTTCTTAATGTAGTTAGATACACCCACAACACACTTTCCCTAAGTATAATAAGCCTGATTACAGAGTGGTGCCATTCATGTTAATTAATATTCCAATATTTCCTTCACCCGCCACCCACACTATGCATTGTGCTGTTTTCACAGTCATTTTAGTCATTTTATGAACAGGCATTGATGTGACTGAGGAGTGCAAGGCTTTGGAAAAGCTCTTGCAGGGATGTAATATGCCAAGAGGAAGGTTTGCCAATAGTTTATATTAATTTACAGGCCTTTCGTGTCCCTTTGCACCAAATCTTTTAGTTACTGAATAATACTTTACATTCTAGAAATTGCTACAATGTCCCTATTGCGTACACACCAGGGATTTTTAAGATGAAATCCCTGAATATCATTACTATAGACTTTATTTACTTTAGATGTGAGGATAAATAGGTATTAAAACTTGGGTTCTTCTTGTTCTTCCTCCTGTCCACAGCAAGCTGTGTAATGTTCTTGATCGACTGAATGTGATCGCAGAGAATGTGGTGAAGAAAACAGGTTTCTTTGTAAACCGCCCTGATTCTTACTGTAGCATTTTGCGGCCAGATGAAAAGTATGTACTGTGTTTAACACCTTAAAATAAATTAAAGAATTTTGCTCTATGGTTTAAAAATATTCTAAATATGAGCAGTTTGTACTACTTGGAAGAAGGATAAATTTATTCCTTTGGGGAAACAAGACAAGCTGGTCATGTAACTGTGGGCATCATATTCCCTCAAGGGTTCTATTCCTTGACATGGGAGCCATGGAGTCTTTGTATCTTGCTTCATGGAATAAACACGATAAGAAATATTTCTGTAAAGTAAAATTTTTTACAGTGAATTCTATTTTTCAGTATTAGATAGGACAGGAATTTTTTTTTCTTATAGATGAAGTACTAATATATATATTTTTAACATATATTTTATTAATTTTTTACAGAGAGGAAGAGAGAGGGACAGAGAGTTAGAAACACCGTTGATAGAGAAACATCGATCAGCTGCCTCCTGCACACCCCCCACTGGGGATGTGCCCGCAACCAAGGCACATGCCCTTGACTGGAATTGAACCTGGGACCCTCCAGTCCACAAGCTGACGCTCTATCCACTGAGCCAAACCGGTTTTGGCAAAGTACTAATCTTTTTATGAAAATAATATTTATCATTGTTCTGTAATTAGTCATTTGCTCAAAAATATTTCTTCATTACCATTATGTACTAAAATACTTTGTGAGCATCTCAGATTAAGGATCTATGTTTTATTTACCTTTTAAGGAACCCATGTTAGACATTTTCAGTTAACAAAGTTAATTATAATGGTTATATAACAACAATTATAATGGCAAAAAACAATAACAACTGCCTTGTAAGCAGGCCTTCCTAAGGATAGTAGTCAGGCCTGCTATGCTAACTCTTTTCTGCATTATCTTCTTTTAAATAACTAAAATATAAAATATTAATATCATGATAGCATACTTAGAACATATCCTCATGCAGTCACTAGCATGTGAAGAACGTTAAGTGGGAAGGAAAATAATAAGGAAGTCTGCAAAAACCACCAAAGGAATGTAACGAAGCTCCATGAAGAAAAGCCGGAGGAGGTAGAGAATCCTCACATTGAGGGGAGAAGATAGGCTTGGAAGATTTTATTCTTATTTTATTAGAAAGATGTCCTGCAATTAATTGTTACTCATCTCTGGATTCAAGGAAGAAACCCACTTAGGGTAAAGCAAGAGAAGTTTGAGTTGAAGATGGGTGCCGGAACGCCAGAGTGTGGGGCCGTGGGACAAGCCCAGATGCTCCTTTCTTTGAGGGGAGCCTTCCATCTCAGTTATTTGCATACTAACTTTCCCAAAAGAATGAAAGTAAGCAGAATAGCTGATTCTGTTGGCTCCTTTAGCTCTATTAATTTGATTCTCAGTAACGATCTAGTAACAAAAATGAATACAGGTTATGTTATTAAAAAAATTTTTAAAGCATGTTTTCTTAAACAGGTGGAATGATCTAGGAGGATGTGTGATCCCCACTGGTCGCCTGCAGGTATAGACAACATTATATAAATAATGAATAGACTCTGTGTCATAGTACATGACGTTTTCTGAAAGCAACCATTGAGGGACATACTTCTTATTTAATTCAGAATTATTACTTATTTGGGACTAATTTTTAAAAGCCTTACTGCTGGTGCTTAACTCCTACAAAGGATATATAGCTAAAATAATAATGGCCCACAGGTTTTTTTTTCTATATATTATAAATTTTATTATTGGAAATAGAAACATAAGCTGAAATGTGAAAAGAATAAGTTAGAATGACTTTGGAAAATGAGCCAGGTATGATCACTATATACATTAATTATGCTTTAAGGGTAATATAGCTTCAACCACTGAATACTTGATTTGTACAGTAAAGGAAACATATCAGGAAAAAAGCACGTATTTTACTAATTGGTACATGTGGAAAATGTTAGTTATGTGTTTTATCTTGTTAAACTAAGGAAGAAAATTCAAATATAGACTGGAAGGTGTAATGATGCTGTTGCAACAATAAGTGAGCAGCAACTATGACCTTTCATAATTTAAGAAGTGTTCATTATTTGTTCGGGAATAATACTCTGCCTACAGATTTCTTCTCCTTAAAGAAAAGAGATCTAAGTAGGATGGAAGTAATTTTGCTGACTGAATAATGACTAAAAGTCTTGAGGCATTTCTCTTTTAGACTGGTGTTCTTCGAACCAACTGTGTGGACTGTTTAGATCGCACCAACACAGCGCAGTTTATGGTAGGAAAATGTGCTTTGGCTTATCAGCTGTATTCCTTGGGATTGATTGACAAGCCTAATCTGCAGTTTGATACAGATGCAGTCAGGTAAGCCTTAGTTTCTGCCTTTTGAATGCTGGTAATGACTAAAAGCAAACTTGGTTAAGAATAAGGACTTTTATGAACTTGTTTGTACTTTTAGCTTCTCAAAAATTATGTTGCTAATTTATTCAAGTTAATGCTGTAATAAATATTTCTATTAAATACTTGTGTATTGTTGCTATATTTTTTGTTAATTATCAATAAGCACTATGTCCTTTAGACAAATCCAAAGTAAATAAATCCTAACTAGTGGGTTTAAAAAAAAAAATCCAGATTACATTAGGAAAAAATAATGTGCCTTCATACATTTTGAACTTAAAAATACAAGACATATAAACAATTGATTCCTCATTAAGGATTGTGTTCTTCACTGTGCATTAAATCCGTGGCATTGCATGAAGTATTGTTTCTTGAAAAATACAGTGAAAGCTGTTATTGGTCATTTGCAATAGTCAGAAAGGCTGTCAAGGGAAGTGATCAGCTTACAAGCAGCCAGATCCACAGTTATCACTGCACTGAAAGTCTTTAAGAGGCACTAGAAGAAACATACGTTTCAAACTTGTATTTTCATCAAAGAATATGGCCTGTCTGTGTGTGATCAGAGCATGTCCTTCTTCTCAAAAGGCAATTCAGAGAGAACAGAAAATTCCGCCGTGGGAGGTAAATTGATCTGACAGGCTGCAGGTAGTTAGACATCTTTTAATAAGGAAGAACTGTCTGGCTTTAGTGGTTTGTTTTTGGTGTCCCTGCTTCCTTTTTAGTATTTTCTGTGACTTTGTTGCTCATTAGATAATTACTGTAAAATGTAAAATATTTTGCAATTGTATTTCTCTTCAAAATGTTGAAGGGTCTACTTGAAAGGAATGGTTCAGAGAATTTATACAGAAAAGCCTTGTTTTGAGTCTGAGACTAAGTGAATAATGCGTAATACTTTTTCTAAAATTCTTTCATGTTTCTATTTCTTTTGCTTAGGTTATTTGAGGAACTCTATGAAGATCATGGGGATACCCTGTCCCTTCAGTATGGTGGCTCTCAACTTGTTCATCGTGTAAAAACCTACAGAAAAATCGCACCATGGACCCAGCACTCAAAAGATATCATGCAGACCCTGTCTAGGTATTACAGCAATGCGTTTTCAGGTAATCCTGGGGCATTAGGCATTTCTAAGACTTATCCAAATGGGCATTTTTCATATATATATATATATATATATATATATATATATATATATATATATATATATATATATATGTATACACACACACACACACACACTGTTGTGTTTTTTTGGGGGTGGTGGGTTTTTTATTTATTTATTTTTTTAGCTATCTGGTTAAGTAAAATTCAAAATTAAATATTTAAAAAGTTTAAATAAAATAGAATCTGTCACTTAAAAGGTGCTCAATAATCATTCGTTCAACAAATGCATGAATAAACTTTGTATTTTAAATAGGGCATGTTTGCATTTTGCCGTCCATAAGTGGAACTTTTACATAATGCAAAAGTTATTTACAACATATATTGTTTCCCTATTTCTGTCTCTGTATTTCTGCTTACTTCGGTATTATTTATATATATAACAGCCAAGCGACTGGAAAGACCGGTCACTATGACACACACTGTGGCTGTCCAACTGGCCTGAAGGGACGGAGCCGACTGGACCCCACCCATAAGCAAATTTATGCACCAGGCCTCTCTGTATATAAAGCTAGCAACCAGAACGTTGTAACAACCAGAACAACAGGTCACTATGACGCCCACTGCAGCCAGGAAACGGGCCCAATCCGGGGTGGGGCAGGCCAGCCAACCTCCCATAGCCCCTCCCCCTTGGCTAACCCCATACCTGATCACCCTCTTACCCCAATAGGGGGCAGGGCTGGCCGGCCTACCTCCTGTAGCCCCTCCCCCTACCTGTCTCCACCCCAAATTGGAGTTCCCCCGCCACGATTAGGAGAAGGGCCAACCAGCCAACTGCTTAAGGAGAGAGAGAGAGATACCAATGAAAGAGAAGCATTATTGTCTGCCTCCTGCATGCCCCTACTGGGGATGGAGCCTGCAACCCGGGCACATGCCCCTACCTGAAATTGAGACACATTGACTAGTTGCCTCCCGCATTCACCCTGATCAGGAGCAGGGTGTGAACCCACAACCCAGGTAAGTGCCCTTGAACTGGAGACCCTTCGGTATGCAGGCCAATGCTCTAGCCACTGCCACACCAAGTCATGGCAAGCCTGATCTATTTAGACACAGCGTATAATAAAACTGGTTAACGTTTAGCTGTTTGAATGGAGTTTAAATGGCATATTTTTTTTCCCTTTAAACATGATGAGTACAAAAATAATCATTTTTTTTTCACTCTGATTTGGAAACTATTCCCCAAGTCCACTACTGTTAATAAGCGGGGGTCCCTCCCTTTCTCTAAAAAAAAAAAAAAAAAAAAAAAAAAAAAAAAAAAGTCCTACCAAGACTCTACCTGTTTTAAGCTCTTGTCCATATCCAAAGTACCATGGTCTTCCTGAGGGTGAATGTCCTGTTTGCAGTTGAAAGTAGCTAGGAAAACATCCTCAGGTTCATGAGGCCTGGCTTAGTAAGTAACCATAAACTCCTTAGTAAAAAAACAGACAAACCAACAGTGCATTCAAGAAGTCTTCATTACGCACCTTTGAAAGACTATCCTTTACTATTTTTCTCACATCCTGCATTTTATCATATTTGCTTCAAATTAAAGGGAGCTACTATTAGTTTTAAAGGATGAAAGACACTCCTTGAAAACATGACTGAAAAAGGAAAGCTTTTCTAGATAGAATTAAGATATTTTGAGGTACCACGTAGATGAGTTAATAAGAGCCATTAAAGCTATTCTAGAAGCATAAAGAACGTAATTACTGTGAGAGCAGTCTGTTTACTTTTGTATTGTGTAAAGAGGATGCGAGAATGCCTGCATCATTAATATTTGATGTTTTCTCCCAACAACTGACAAAAATCCCCCAAATATATTCAGCATATAAACACATACCTTTCTTGCATTAGTGTTAGCCTGACAGGTAAGTGTTTTAATGGGATGCTTCCTGTGAAAATATTAATAACATGAATACATGCTTGATGTACCATATTTCATTTATTGCTTTTACTGAAACGACCAAATAGCCCAATGAGAACAATGTTGCTAATTTCAGATTATATCTGTGTTCACAACTGCTGTTGGAAGAAAGTTGATTTCCTGATAATGTTATGTTATTTCAAAAGCAGTCATTACTGCTGTGCTATCTTTTGAATTCCGTACTCATTTTTAGAAAGAGGTCATTATTTACATTGTGGATGTCTGCCCCAAACTTGAATACACAGGGCTCTGAGACAAGAATGGAAAGAAGGAAATGAGGGGAAGGATGAAGGATGCTAGGAGAAAAGAGTGCAGAATGGAAAGGGTGGTTCATGAGATCACCTCAGTGCTCATCATCATTTTACCAAGACTTCATTAGAAAAGGAAGGGGAAATACTGTATTTCCCCCCCCCCCCCCCCCCCCCAGTGATTTTGGAGTGGTTGAAGAGTTAGAATGAGGCTGTTATCTGTGTGCCCACTCTGTCTTCATTATCAAACACAAAAGGGATGGCCCAGGTCAACAGCTGGGGGTAGGGGAGAAACAATGTAAGCATATCTCTGCTAAAGAAATGGAGAATACCTTTCCAAGGACTAAAAGTGGCACTATCCATAACCAACTTATTCAAGGTTATGCAACAGAATATGGTTAGTAATTGGGTTATTTCATTTGTTTCTGCTGTCTCTGCTTGTCTTTGCAGTAAAGTGCAGATGTATTTGTTCCAAGAAAACTAACAAATGGTGAGAAGATGCTTTATTCTAAAAATAAAATCACTATGGTATTATGGCAGTGTTTAAAGATTTTGAAGACTCTCAAAATTCAAAAAGCAGTTTATATGCACCATCCTCTGTATTATGAGAGGTATGGAGTAAAAGGGTAAATTTTGAAGCACATTTTGAATTCTGCTCAAAAACTTGGTGACTGTTTACATTTTGTTTGTGTGTGTGATTTTTGAAGTATTAATAGTATTATTTTCAATGGCATATTCTGTGAAATCACAGTTGTTCCCATATCCTCCTGAGAAAATATTCTCAGAGTTGTATATGTCGGCAATGGAATTTCTGAAATACATATTTTTGCTTTTTAGATGCTGATAGACAGGATTCCATTAATCTCTTCCTGGGAGTTTTCCATCCCACTGAAGGAAAACCTCATCTCTGGGAACTCCCAACAGATTTTTACCTGCATCATAAAAACACCATGAGACTTTTACCAACAAGAAGAAGGTATTTTTCTTCCTAACTCAGAGATTTGATATTATTTTGAAAATGAGATACTTTTTTTTTTTTTTTTTTTTTAGAAATAATCACATAGGACAGTGGTCGGCAAACTCATTAGTCAACAGAGCCAAATATCAACAGTACGACGATTGAAATTTCTTTTGAGAACCAAATTTTTTAAACTTAAATTTCTTCTAATGCCACTTCTTCAAAATAGACTTACCCAGGCCATGGTATTTTGTGGAAGAGTCACACTCAAAGGGCCAAAGAGCCGCATGTGGCTCACGAGCGCAGTTTGCTGACCATGGCCATAGGCTAAGCAGTAAGCGATCCTACATGTTTGTCATGAGAAATTTGGCACCTTTGAGGTCCTCATAGTAGATTTGGGAAATTGTCGTTAACACTTGGTGTTTTGCATTTTCCGTAAGATAAAAAGTTTCAGAACTTCATCATTGAACGTAAGTTATGGCTCCACTATAGCGAACCATCAACATCATCTTTGAGTGCTTCCTACAAACTCGGAACTCTGCACAATTCTGACACCTGGGGAGTCAGTCTTTGGTTTTTCAAGTATGGGGTCTCAGTCGCATCACTTTGGTGTCCTTTCCTGCAGGAAGCACAGGAGGCAAGAGCAGTGACATCCGTGGCAGATGCCACGCCCATCACCCCTACCACTTAAATCTGGGCTTTCTGGAGTCATTAACCAGTACAGGTTATTTTGTTGACAGTTAAATTGGAATTAATATTCTCAAAACAAACCAACTGTTTACCCGAAGCATTTTAATGGCACACCCTGTAGTGTGGGCCTCAAGGTCAGGTAGACTTGAGTTGGAGCCTTTGCATTTGTGTGATCTTGGACTGGTTACTTAACCTTTCTCCTGGTCTGCAAAATATGATGGGACACACAGAGTCATTGTGAGGATTTAATGAAAAGACTCATTCATGTTTTTAATTGAGTTGTTATGTACTCATATAATCCATTTTGCCACAGGAGCAGCATTTTCACATATATGAGGTTGGAGCTTCGTCCATTCTGCTCACATGTCAATTTCTCTTTCATAATGCTCTTCTCTCCTAGCATCAGTTTGATAAAGCCCTTATTTGTGCACCGATGCCTCCTAAATACTAGAGGGGTCATTGGTAGTCTGTGTTAATTATGTACTGATGTTATAGCTATTTTCAAATTCTATTACTTCAGGAACCTTGAAAATATTAAGGAAGTGTCAGAGTTAATATGTTTCTCAAATTTGTTATTGGAATAACCAATTTAGTATTTTTTTGTTTTTTTAATTTAATAAATCTTTATTGTTCAGATTATTACAATTGTTCCTCTTTTTTCCCCCCATAGCACCCTTCCTCCCAGTTCCCACCCCACCCTCTGCTCTTACCCCCCACCCCCACTGTCCTCATTCATAGGTGTACGATTTTTATCTAGTCTCTTTCCACACCCCCTTCACCTCTTTCCCCCCAAGAATTGTCAGTCCATTCCCTTTCTATGCCCCTGATTCTATTATATTCACCAGTTTATTCTGTTCATCAGATTTTTTATTCACTTGATTTTTAGATTCACTTGTTGATAGATATGTATTTGTTGTTCATAATTTTTTAAAAATATATTTTATTGATTTTTTACAGAGAGGAGGAGAGAGCGATAGAGAGCTAGAAACGCCGATGAGAGAGAAACATCAACCAGCTGCCTCTTGCACCCCCCCCTACTGGGGATGTGCCCGCAACCAATGTACATGCCCTTGATGGGAATTGAACCTGGGATCTTTCAGTCTGCAGACCGACGTTCTACCACTGAGCCAAACCGGTTTTGGCTGTTGTTCATAATTTTTATCTTTACCTTTTTCTTCTTCATCATCTTCTTAAAGAATACCTTTCAGTATTTCATATACTACTGCTTTGGTGGTGATGAACTCCTTTAGCTTTTTCTTATCTTTGAAGCTCTTTATATGATCTTCAATCCTGAATGATAGCTTTGCTGGGCAGAGTAATTTGGTAGTAGGTTCTTGCTACTCATCACTTTGAATATTACTTGCCATTCCCGTCTGGCCTGCATAGTTTCTGTTAAGAAATCAGCTGACAGTCATATGGGGACTCACTTGTAGGTAACTAACAGTTTTTCTCTTGCTGCTTTTAATATTCTCTCTTTGTCTCTTGCTCTTGGCATTTTAATTATGATGTGTCTTGGTGTGGTCCTCTTTGGATTCCTTTTGTTTGGGGTTCTGTGAGGAGCTTCTTGGACTTGTAAGTCTATTTCTTTCACCAGGTGGTGGAAGTTTTCTGTCATTTCTTCAAATAGGTTTTTAGAATCTTGTTCTCTCTCTTCTTCTGGAACCCCCTTAATTCTGATATTGGTATCCTTGATGTTGTCCCAGAGGCTCCTTACACTATCTTCATATTTTTGGATTATTTTTTCTTTTTGCTTTTCTGGTTGGGTATTTCTTGCTTCTTTGTATTTCAAAAATTTGTCTTGATTCTTGTGATCCTCTAGTCTGCTGTTGGTCAGGTATTGCATGTTTTAAAAATTCTTGTGGCTCGAAAAAAAAGAAAAAAGAAAAAAGAAAAATTTTTGTGGCTCATCAGTTGAAAATCACTGCCTTAAAACATTGAAGCTATTACTACACAACTTGGGAACAACCAAAACTTGATTTTCTACTGCAAAAATTAGCCAGGATATTATCTTGAGTTACACATCTGAGGCAGGCAATATTGGAGCTTATTTGTGGGAATAAAAAGAAGCTGGCATTACATTTATTTTATTTAAAACAAAGGACATTGAGGTACAGAGAGAATGTGCCTCGACTGAGATTATTCATCTAGTTAGATGATTCAGTAAGCATCAGTGATAAGCCTGCTACTGAATTTATCAAAGTAGATAATACGGCTCTCAGTTGATTTTGTTTCCTGTTTTTGCTTTTTTCCCTCCAGAATGTTAATAACCAAAAACTGGTTAATGACATCAAAATTGATGTTACCCATAAGCATTGCTTATAAATACTATAAGATAAATTTCAGTGTTTTATTTTGGAATTGTTAGTGTTACTCATCTATCCTGGTTATTTTAGAGACTGTTAAATGTGTATTATAATTCTCAGATGAAATAAACAATTTACCAAAGGCAGTAATAAGACAGGAGCATGAACTTAAACATTTTGTAGAGCTGAGTTGGAATTTCTGTAAGTGTGTGACCTTAGACCTGTTTTTTAACCCCTGGAAATGTTGTTTGAAGACAAGTTCACACATTCTCAAAATCTCATCTTTTCTAACTTATAGCCTCTTTAGCATTCAGAATGCCCTTTCCTGTATGTATTCTAGTCAATGCCATGTTCTTGGTAAACTGTGGTCCCCAGATCTGTCTCTGATAGTAGAGCTTGGTCTGATTTGTGCCAACTATTGTGGGCCATTGGGACCATTTCTCCCTTTGTCCTGGATGTTCTATTTTTATCACTAAGCGTTAGATTTCCATTAGCTGCTTTCGGTGGTGCTGTCATATGGTGAACTCTCTGAGTTTCCTGTCCATTAGAACTCCCAAGTCTTTTTTAACATGTCCTGCTGCCATACCTTCTCTCTATACCATTTTTGTCATGCTCATATACACTCTGCTTGCTTCCAAACAAAAGTTCTTAAATGTGCATCCTTTATATTAGTTGTTCACCTCTAGATTTGTAGCTTCTTCAGATTTAATTAGCTGGGCCATCTTGATGCTAATGCAAGTCCTTGATGTAAAGTGTTGAATAAAATAGGATAGCTAGCAGAACCCTATGAGATAGCACCAGACACCTCTTCCACTTTAAAATTGTTTTCTAATTGCTGGTTGCAATCATTTAAACATCTGTAATGTACCATATTGTCATCACTTAACCATGGTGTCATTCTGCCCACATGTCTCTATCTTGTTCACAGATACTGATTGCTTTGCTAAAGTCCATACACGTTATTTCAGAGGACTCTCAAGTTAGATAGGGGGAATTAAATAGTCATTTCAATCTCCCTGACCTTCCTATGTGCGCTGCTGGCATTGAGCACCTTTAGGACTCAGGAATGAAAAAGAGAAAAGGCACTTACTTATTGGTATGCAAAGGAAGAAGCAGCACCAACGTGCGCCTCAGTCCTCTGATCCCTGGTCCCAAAGCGGATTTCTGACCTGGTGCAGTGCTCTTCCTCTGAATAAATGCTCCCGATGGTGGAGGTGATGAAGATTCCCCTCCCAGGTTCAGTCCTCTCAGACGTTCTCATCCTCCTCCCAACGCAGCTCATCTTCCCCAGGGCAGGCATTTCTCCTGGGCTTCTTTGCTTCTGTGACCCACTCAGAGTAGTTGGACTTTTAAAAAGTATTGTTAAGTTGCATTGTGTTGCTTAGGGAAACACTGTTTAGCAATATTAAAAAAAAAAAATGTGTGTGGCCTGGTCTCAAATCACTAATACAGTTCTCTTAATTATTTTTCTTCACATGGTGCATTCTGAGTTAAAACACATTTTTATATAGTTTCTTCTTTTCATTTTTTTTCTAAGTAAGACAATTGGAGCAAAATTTTTTAGGAAATTTCTCACATACTAGCTGATACTTTCTGTGCTTTCCTCATCTGCCACGGTTAGCTCATTGCAAAATAGAACTTATCCCTCTCCCTCTCCCTCTCCCTCGCCCTCTCCCTCGCCCTCGCCCTCGCCCTCTCCCTCTCCCTCGCCCTCTCCCTCTCCCTCTCCCTCTCCCTCTCCCTCGCCCTCTCCCTCGCCCTCTCCCTCGCCCTCGCCCTCGCCCTCGCCCTCTCCCTCTCCCTCTTCTCTCTCTCTCTCTTTTTTTTTTTTTTTAATATATTTTATTGATTTTTTACAGAGAGGAAGGGAGAGAGCTAGAGAGCTAGAAACGTTGATGAGAGAGAAACATCGACCAGCTGCCTCTTGCACACCCCCTACCGGGGATGTGCCCGCAACCAATGTACATGCCCTTGACCGGAATCGAACCTGGAACCTTTCAGTCTGCAGACCGACGCTCTACCATTGAGCCAAACCGGCTTCGGCACTCTCTCTTCTCTTAAACAGCCATTTCTTTTTCATTCCCCTGATCTGACAGTTTGATTCTCCTACCAGAAAAGAAATGAGATTAGCCTGGTGTGCCTTGTCTGAGTAAATACACTGTTTTCCCAAAAATAAGACAGTGTCTTATATTAAATTTTCTCCCAAAGACATCAGGGGATGTCTTATCTTTCCATGTGCTAGGTCTTATTTTCGAAGGATGTTTTATTTTAGGGGAAACACGGGTATATGTGGATTCATAGAAATCACTGGTCATCATTTTAGGTTACTCACAAAATATCTCTAGTGAATACTTGATTCTATTATCTTTTGGAATGTATCACCCTCTTGCCTCTGAGCATCAAGACTACATTTGCCCATTTCCAGTTAAATTCCATTCTTTACTGTTCCTTAGAAGAGTATTGATCTCAACTGTACCAAGACTTGAATGCTGTTAGAGATGCTTCTGTCCCTTGGGCTGTGTATAGTTCCCTCTTATCTTGTGGTTTTCTCTTTCCAGCATGAAACTCATCATGGCTGGTAAAGATAGAAACAATACTGGAACTGAGTAACTCTGCTTTCTCTGTCATTTTTAACATGTCATTGCTAACACACGGTGCTTGACACACAGCAGGTGCTTAATAAATGTTGAAAGACCAATAAGTCTTCAAGCAGAAGACTTATCCCTTTTCTGTTCTTTTCATGCCCCAAAGCCTTGCTCTTCAAAAAGCAGTCTGAGGACCAGCCCCTTTGACATCACCTGGGAGCTGTCATAAATGCAGAATCTCAGGCCCCGCCTGCTGAATCAGAATCTGCCTTTTGACAGGATCGCCAAATGATTTGTGTGTGCATTGAATTTTGAGAAGTATTGCTCTAAAGCACAGTTTCAGTCTCAGCAAAACTTCGGGAGCCTTTTCTGCTCTTGTAACACTTCCCTCCCTCACAGTTCATTAGGCTTCAGGTCCCTTTTTTCATCATCCTTGGTTATGCACTCCGCTTGCCATCTCTAGGGGAGTTCTCTGTGTTGCCTATTTCATTTAAATACGTCTCCATTCTTCATGATTTTTTGAAATTTGCTAGAATTATTCAAAATTTTGATGTCAGCATTTTATTTGTAGAAAGCCTGTCATTTATTTTAAAAGTACATTTTTAGTAGTTTAGGCTATAGGTGTTTTTTTCTGAACCTTTTGAAAATTTTGATATGCCATTTCATATCATTCCCCTGCCAAGCTCTTATGAACTTGAATATAGCATTTATCCCTTAAATATCCATTTCATAAGAAATAGGTTTAGAATTAAATTCATTCGTCAGAGAGAAGGCAGCTCAGGATTCTTTCAGATTCTCTACTCATAGTGGATGAATGTTCTAGCAAAAAATCTATATGATTGAAATTCCCTACCTCACTCTGTGATCACACAGTGCAGTGTTTCCCAAAGTGTGGTACGGTACCTCCAGGGGTACAGGAAGAGTTTGGTGGGGGTACGCATTGCACCGGAGTTTGGTGGGGATATGCACTGCACTGTGCTTAGCTGCGCCTAATTATACGTTCTCATGAGTACGAGGGGTACTCAGCGTTACGAAAATTATAGAAGGGGTACACATATGTCAAAAGTTTGGAAAACACTGACGTAGTGAATACTTACAATTAGAGGTTAACACAGCTTGTATCAGTTTCTGAGGGAACTTGTTGTTTAGGACTATCCATTCACTTAATGACTTTGCTTAACTCTTTTAAATGAGCTGTACACACAGACCCATACACATAGAGCAGAATAGAACTCTCAGATAACTATGTGCAAGAGAATCCTGGTTGTGGGACTTGGGTCAAGGCCCGCTCCTCACCGGTGGCAGAGGAATTCTGTATCATATGTTGCTGTTAGAATTCAGCACAGGCCGTGGGGAGGGTAAACAGCAACTCACCGAGTCTGGTGGAGTAACCCTCATCTTTTTCATCTAAAAGTAAGTACATCAGAGCATCTTAACTCTCAGATACGTTTATGGATTTTCATAGATCTGTGACACATTTGAAACAAGAAAGGGGTTGGGACAAGAACTGGCATGTTGAAGACTCACTGTGCCAAAAGCTTCACAAACATATTTTTAAAAAGAAAAAGAAATTAATTTGGACATATGAGACAGCATCTTACTATAGGCTGTTCAGTTCCTTTTATCCAGTGAATTGTAGGAAACCATCATCTACATCAGGGTCCATCTTGTCTTGTGTTTTATTTTATAGTTATACTCACTGGTGGACACCGGAGGTAATAAAACATCTGCCACTGCCTTATGATGAAGGTAGGTACCCTGTTTCTCTTTTAGTTTTTATACTAATGTATTTTGGAATTATTCCTAAATGAGCTAAAAGAATTAAATTCTTTGCATATAATTTCTTATTAGGAAGCAATGCATGTCTATTCAGTATCATATGTTGCTGTTAGAATAGATAAGCTAAAATATCCTGAGATCTCAGCTTTTTGAAAGACAGGGATGTTTTATATTTCTTGTCTCTAAGAAGGGCTAAGTCTTGTATTGTGTCTTTTTATTAGTTATGTCCCTCAAATATTTACAAGATACATTAGTTTGTTGTTTTAAATGACCATGTTTCTAGATATTTGGGGAGAATGAGGAGGAAGTGAAGACCATGCATAAGGAGAAATAAAAAACTTTTTCTATATCTAAGCAGTGAAAAAAGGTACAAGTATGTGTATAAAAGTACATTTTAGTCACTAAAGTTTACATTTTATTAATTTGTCAGAAATGCAGGAACATTTTTGTGTTAAAAGAATACCCTCAAATGTACAGTACATTAGGGTAATGTTTCCAAATTTAAATAATTGCCCAGTTTTAAATAGGATTTAATCCTGGCTCTGACTGAGTTCCCTGACTTTGGGTAAGCCCGTTTTCTTACTAAGTGGGATCTGCTGCCAGCCTGGAACTCTCTAGTTGAGGACTCCATCTAGTCACGGTCAACCATTCCTATTTTGGGTGGTGAAGGCCATGAAGTAAGAAGATTGAAAATGATTTTTAGTTCTTAATGCATCATTCATTGATTTTTAAATTATTTGTAACCCTGAAATTTTGGGTAAAATCCTAACTCATTGCTATGAAGGCTTGGTTGTTCTAGAACGATGGAAAGGACTTGAACAGTCTAACTAACATTGGTCATAAACATCCCTCTTTTGTATGACAGGATCTGAAATGTAAAGGAAAATTAAGTGAAATACTACACGATTATTACGTAGAAGGCAGAGGGTATTTGTTTAAGGACAAAAAATAATTTAAAAAGCTGAGTAACTTAGCTTCTAAAATAACTGCTTTCTTCCACCCTGACTCCCAAAGGCCCTCCTGCCTCCTTGTCCCACTCAGCTTTGCCTTGTCTGTTCTGTGCGCATATCACTCCTCTTCCCAGGGTGTGCGTGCCAGAGGCAGGAGCTGAGCTTTGTTCCGCGCACTCTCTGTGAACACTGTTGATACTACAGAAATGTTTGCTACCTGTAATCTAAGAGCTTCCGGAGTAACAGGCAGTGTCTCTCTTAGTTATCTGTGCTGCAAACTTTAAGAAGTTGATAGTGAAGAAATTTCACAAACACGAAGAAGAGATTGACATCCACAATGAGTTCTTCCGACCATATGAGCTCAGTAGCTTTGATGATACCTTTTGCTTGGCAATGACCAGTTCAGCACGGTATGTTGTGAGTACTCTGACACCGTAAGGATTTGGGAAGTATACTTTCCCTAGTTTATATAAATGTGTCTGACTTTGCCAGAAATCTGTTTTGCAAGCCTGCTAGCTGGTGGCTGTTCAGCCTCTGAATACCTCCCGTGATTGGGAGCCAACTACTTCAGGAGGCAGTCCCTTCTATTATTAGAAAACTGGGTTTAACTTCTTCTTTTGGATAAATTGAAATCTTTCTCCCATTGGTCCTAGTTCGTCATTTGAAATAAATTCAATTTTTATACGTGAACATCGAAATTGAGAGCGAACATAATTAGTGGAAAAGCATAGTCTCTGGTACTAGAAAGGGCAGGGTATGAATCTAGATCAGCCACTGCCTACCTGTGTTACTTTAAGGAAATTGTTCAACGTATATAATTGTTTAGTTCCTTCATTTCATATCAATAGGGATGCACAAATATATGGAAAACATGGCACCAAGTAGACTATGAAAAGGATGCGCGTTTACAGGACGAGAGCTAAAACAAGAAGGCAAGGTGTCACCTTGCTCTGCCTCAGCTGGGAGCATGAGTGTTGGGTTACTCTAATTTTTCACTGTCTGAGTATGCGTATGTCTGGGCGTGGTCATGAAAGCTATGAGTGTTGATTTGGGGGTTACAAATCAGTTCTAGTTAGTAAGCAAATTCTCAGATATGGAGCCGACAAATGAGGATCAACTGTATATGTTCAGAAGAAAAAAAATATTAAACCATGTAAATTTTTAAAAACATTATCAAACTGTTTGAGAGACATTTTGAGTCAGATTCAAGATTACTTTCTTTCAAAAAATGTCACACTTGGCGTAGCATCCTTGCCGATAACGGTTGCCTTTCTGGTATGTAGTGAGGAATGGGGTCCGGCTTCAGCGTTAATAGGTAGGCCCTTGCAAACACACGGAGGAACCAGCTTTGGCTTCTTAGTAGGTGGTAAATTAAAAGTTTTTATTTAAAGTGTTCCAACGGTGTTTTAATTAATTAACCTTAGCCTAATGAGGTAGCTGTTGATATTTAATTCATACCACTGTGTTTTCATCATTATGTCAGTCTTCTTATGTAGGATAGTGTAATAAAAATGTTGTCCATAAAACTGAGTGGCTTAGTGTTTTATCATTGGTTTTTATGAGTTTAATTTTACCTGAAAACTAATCATGATCCATAACCAGAAGGTATACATCTTAACAGTAAGTTAGATATCAACTCTGTCCCAGTAAACAAAATCTTAAAATCATCACCACTGGGCCTCATAATCATAAAGAAAATTCACAGTGAAGACTGATACCATTGAAGTTACCAAGTGCCATTAGTTCATGGGGTTTTATGACCCAGATCACCTAAGCTCCCTTGAACATTTGCCTCAGAATATATAGGGGTAGGCAAAAGTAGGTTTACAGTTATAATACAAATAAATACTATAATTAATAAATAATAGCACAAGAATAAACTGTTTTGTGTACTCACAACTATAGACCTAGTTTTGCCGCACTCCTGTATATGCCTCCAAGGTCTAAGAAGGAATAGTATAAAAATGTGAATTGAATGAAAGCCATCCTTATCTGGATGTTTAGTGATTTGTATGGAATTTTCTTCCCCTTTCTTCAGGGACTTTATGCCGAAGACTCTTGGCATTGATCCAAGTCCATTTACTGTGCGTAAACCAGATGAAACTGGAAAATCAGTATTGGGGTAAGATTTGCATATAGAATGAAATTTTAAAGATTCATGTAAAATAATATAGCACTTGCAATATAATTTCCACAAAAACTAATAACTTGACATAGTTTGGGACACAGTCCATTTATTGCATCTATTCAGGTAGTTCATTTATGGCACTGGGATCACTAAAGTGTTCAACATGGAAAGTAGAACTTATGGAAATTTTAGCAATGTGGTACACTTCATTATTTTAAATTAGGAATATCACAGATGGCATAAAAACAGGTAGCAGATATTGTGTGTTATGTCCTATAAGAACTCAGCATCCTTTATTTCTCTCAACATAAAGTACTTAGGTAAAATTTTATAGTCATAGTATTTGTTTTAGTTTTATTCATAGTATTTGTTTTTGTTTACATCCTGAAGAAGCATTAAAATAAATATGCTCAGATATTAATAGATTTTTTGTGTATTACTGTAGCATTGTTTTAGGGAAAGCAGTTTTTTTTTTTTTTATATCCAGTTACATAGGGAAGAAGACAAATCATGTTTACATCTTCATGCATAGAGATGGGAGTGAAATGTGTGTGTTCTGGCATAAGAATCTCTATTACTCCCATGGACCTGAGTAATCCTGATGATAAGGTTTTCTCATGACCCTGACCAGAAACCCTGGCCAGACTGTAGATACTGACTTCTAATTATATTTAGGTGTGTGCATGGGGTCCTAATTGGATTTTAGCGGCATGTGATTTACAAAATTGGAGATATGTTAGTATTTTCCATACACACTATTTCTGTGGCTTAAAATAAGTGACTTTAAATAGCTACATGTTAAACCATGGGCCAGATGCTAAGGCATTTAAAAGAAAGGATGTCCTCAGGAGTTTAGAATTCAAGGACTTCCTGGCACAAATACATAAATGATCAGCTGTATGAGTGTATCGCACAGAAGTGCTAGCAACTTTAACTTGTAGTTACAGAAAGTCAGAAACTAATTTTTTTTATAATATCTAACCCATGGCCTAGAACATTTCAGAATATTATGGTATTTTAAGTCCCTTGTACTGTATATAATTTTTTCAAAGAGTGAAATATTAAGCATTTTTCATAACAGCCAAGATATTATTATAAAACATTTTTCTTTAAGTAAAACAATATTCTTACAATTCTCAAATTTGGAAGTAGCCAAAACCAGTTTGGCTCAGTGGTAGAGTGTCGGTCTGTAGACTAAAAGGTCCCAGGTTCGATTCCAGTCAAGGGCATGTACATTGGTTGCGGGCACATCCCTGGTAGGGGGTGTGCAGGAGGCAGCTGGTCGATGTTTCTCTCTCATCGACATTTCTAGCTCTCTAGCTCTCTCCCTTCCTCTCTGTAAAATATCAATAAAATATATTTTAAAAAAATTTTGGAAGTAAAATAAAAACTTTTATGTGTCAGTTTTTCTGTCCCCCCAAATCTATTTCCTATTATTAGAAGGGATGTTTAGCAAATATAAGTATTTACTAATAACACAATAAATGTTAAAATTTCATTTATGCTCATCAGTTATTCATATTCTCAAATAGTTAGCTGATATTGTGATTTAGAAAAATCATAGGAGGGAAGGAAATATACATGGATTTGGCTTTTGACCTTTTCTTGAAGCTTTTATAAATTATAGGTAATATTTCTAATATCTCAAAACATATAGCCTATTTTTGTACCATAAACTTCAAATATATTGATTTCAGTTACTGAAGGAAGGCACAATAACCAAGTGACCAAGAGACTTTTCTGCACAGGTTTGCACACACGTATTGTGTCGTCCCCCCCCCCCCCCCCTCCAGAATTTATAACAGGATTGAAATTCATAGAGGGCCTGTACTTGCACATGGTAAAACATTTAAGTTTTCCCTTCACCACAACTTGAACTCAGAAACTAGTTTCTTAGTCATTTTCTTATGCTTCCCCAGGACCACGGTTTGGGACAGAGTGATGCACAGTGAATGTTGAGGGTTCTGTTTAAAGATGCTCACCTTCTTCTTTATCATTTCAAAGAAACAAAAGCAATAGAGAAGAAGCTGTATTACAGCGGAAGACAGCGGCCAGCGCCCCGCCTCCCCCCAGCGAGGAGGCTGTGTCCAGCAGCTCTGATGACGACTCTGGGACCGACCGGGAGGAGGAGGGCTCCGTGTCTCAGCGCTCCACTCCAGTGAAGATGACCGACACGGGGGACAGTGCCAAAGCGGCCGAGGTGCGGGGAGAGGAGCGCGTGTGGTCCAGCGTGGGGCACTGGGGAATGATCTCTAAGTTCCACCCTCAGTAAAAAGGCTGAGTGCGGGGGAAAGGTCACATTATCTCACTCATACCATTGAAATGAGATCATGTGTCATGAGTGGTGTTGGAGGCACTGCGGAGATAAAGACATCCAGAATAGACAGACAAAATGAAAATGGCTTCATTTTGCAATAAAATCAGTGCTTTTGCTCCCAGAAGTAACAGTGAAATTCTTATGACCTCAGAGTTTTTAAGAGAATCCTGTGCCTCTTTGGGCAGCCCAGCCACTTGCGGTCATTCACTCCCTTGCTCAGCACACTGTTAGAATGCAGGGTTTGGACCTGGGCCTCACCATCTCTGCGTAGCCCCAGTGGACAGTTCACCCTGCTCAATTTGGTATCACCAATATAGTAAGGCAAAATAAAAGTAAGCAACAACAAAAAACTAAATCTAGTTTTGGAGAAAATTTGATTTCTAGACATAAAGAGGTCCTTCACTCATATAAGTTGGACATATGTAAATTCTGTAATGTATATGAGCACTGACCTTGCATTCTTTTTTAAGGAGGGTGTTGCATTTACAGAATCCATTGTACCGGATATTGTCAGCTTGTTCCTTCAAGCTAGTAAGACCTGCTGTATAACATGTGGAATTTTATTAGTAGTTATTATGTCAGTAGTTATATAGCCAGAAGTCATTAGAGGTCGATATAACCAAGTGTGATAATACCAGGACTGAATCTGTTATCCTAGTAGTTGGCAAACTACAAACAATCGGTTAAGTTCAGCCCACTGTCTGTTTTTGTAAATAAAGTTTTATTGGAGTTGGCAAACTACAAACAATCGGTTAAGTTCAGCCCACTGTCTGTTTTTGTAAGCAAATTTTCCTGCCATTGAACCATGCCTACTTGCTTCTATGTTATCTGTAACAGCAGAGGTGAGGGGTAGCTGTAGAAATGGTATGACCCAAAAACCATAAAAATATTTACTATCTGGCCATTTGCAGAAATTTTTGCTAACTCCTGTATTATAAAAATACCACTAATAATTACTTAGCAGGGTTTTTTTGAACCCTAAAGCAAACTTTTTTTATTGTAAATAAAAACAGATTTAAAAAATTAACTGAGATTTTAATGAATAGATTAAAGAAACATTGTGATTTCTTCAGTAGGAAAATTCACAGGTTTTTTTTTAATCTTTGGAAATAATTTATATTCTAGATGTCTAAAATTTTTCCTGGTCCTTTTTTTTAACCGCAGAATGTGGTCCAGCCCATGAAAGAGGTATATGGAATTAGCCTCTTTGATGGTATCTCAGAGGAAGATCTCTCCATTTATTCAAGGTAAACTATTGTACTTCCATGTAGAGATTGAGAAAAAATGCAAATGTATTACTACAATAACATATCTAGAATAACTCTAAAAAATTAATATAGTACAGAAGGAAATGAATTCCATCTGGAAAATAGTAATAGCATTTAGTAGGTCAGATTCAGAAACACTGATTTATATTTGAGATAGGGGCCTACTGCCTGAGATAAAAATTTATGATGAGTACATGTATTTTCACTGCCCACATATAAGCTGTAAACTGAAGTACAAACACAGTTCTACAGTAAAAAATCCTCAAGATTAGGTACTAAATAAACCTGGGATATTGCCGATTGAGGACCTCGCAGTCACTTTAGCTCTGGGCTGCTGGTGGGGAGGGCGTCTGAGGAGGAAAAGGAAGCAAGGATATAAGATTGCCAATTCGGGATGTTATAGCCCTTTGGTGGGCAGGTCTGGCTGAAGGGAGAGGATCCCCCAAAAGGCATTCCGTGAAATTACGTACATAATTTTGCACATAAGTGTGTTTTTCTGAGAAGATTCATAGTTATGAGATTCTCAAAAGAATCCTTCACCTGGAAATCCTTAGGAAGCTGATGGGTCCAATGTAAACACTCCTCAGCCTAATACATGGCATTGAGAAGACTTGTTTTTTTTCACTGTTTCAGTGGAATTTTATTAGTAGTTATTATGTCAAAATTCACATGTACAGGATCTATAGCTCTGTCTGAGAAAATTCTAAAGCATATGTAATTATATTTTAACAGTAAGAAGAACATATATCTCATTAGAGTACAGCCCTTAAAAAGTGAAGGATAATAGAGAATTAAGTATAGTTCTGTCAAACTAGAAATGAACTCTGCATGCACAGTGCTTCTTAAAACAAAGTTCTGTGAAAGTATAACATATTTCTATGGATCTGAATTTCAGTGGCAAATGATATTAGCTTCTAAACATCTGAGACTAAAGGAATTTCCAATCAAAACACAAGCACAGTGGCTTTCATTAAATATAGAGCTAAGATATCTCTGTAAAGAGGTCCTTCACTCATATAAGTTGGACATATGTAAATTCTGTAATGTATATGAGCACTGACCTTGCATTCTTTTTTAAGGAGGGTGTTGCATTTATAGAATCCATTGTACCGGATATTGTCAGCTTGTTCCTTCAAGCTAGTAAGACCTGCTGTATAACATGTAAAATACAAAAATGCACAGCATTTCTTGACTGCAAAGTCACTGGTGTGACTGCAACGCTGTTTTACCAGAGGCAAGTTGAGTCATTCAGGACTCAGCCACACCCTCCTCACCCCGATACAGACTTGCAGTTGCTTATTTCTCATGTTGTCAGCTGAACTGTTTCCCGGTTGAAGTGGGCCTTTGTCTGGAGCACGGCTGGAAGGATGCATTGTCTGGGGTTAGTGATGACTATGGCTTTGTTTAGTGCAGAGAGTGTGAGTGTACATGTCAAGGACTGAAATGTTGGCTCATGTGAATTAAGCAGAAAGTGTCTCTTGCTTCTAGGCATGACTTTCACCTGCAGCCTTTGTAGCTCAGATTCCCCTGAGGCCCACTTGTAGTTCTTCCTTCTGGGGAGTGAGATCCAGCCTTGTTCAGCCACAACACCCCTGGGAAACAGTCTCAGAGGGTGCCAGGGCAGGCCTGCAGGAAGCGTTACTGCAGGAGGAAAGGAGCCCATGTTCTGGACTAAGAGTCTGTGCTTGGTATTCTGAAGTTCAACACCTCCTCCTTTGAGGGGTATAGCACTTCCCAGTGTTTTACTTGTTCTTTAGACAACTCTGTAGCAGACTGAAAAGATGTTACTATCCCTCTAGACTCTAGAGTCTAGAGGCTGAGGGCACAGGAAGAGCCGTTCAGTGGCTTCTCCAGAAGACCTGGCCTTTGCTTCTGTGTGTCTGTGATCTTAGTCTGTGCTGTTCTCTTCATTCTCGTGATCATATCAGCTGCCTTTACTTATGATGCGGAGTCCTGGGGCTCTTCCTACCTCCTCTGACCCAGGGAGCAGCGCTTCTGGGCAGGGCAAGAGCCCATGAATTCTGCCCTGTATTATGAGGTGTTCTGCACCCTGTGGGCTTGATTCACTGCTGTTCTGCCCCCAGTCGGCTTGACTCACCAGAGTCTGTGCATGTAAAGTCGGTGCAGTCATCTGGCTTGCCCGTCACAGCCGCCACCTGGGCTACCACAGGACATTGTGGGGAGGGCAGCGACACAGCCAGAACTGGCTTCTGCGGCCTGCCTTCCTGCTTCCTGCTCTCCTGCCTCTTCTTCTCATGCTGACCCTCAACCATCTTCAGACTCCTGAAGACCTCTCGGTTTTATAGTTTTGTTCTGATGACCGAGCCCTATTCTTTGCATCTTTTCTGATATCTTTGGTTTGCTATTTAAACCAGATTCAGAAGTTTACTGACTTCCTCAAAGCCTCAGACCCTTGCCAAATCTTTTTTTTTTTTTTTAATTCTGACCATGATCATGCACATAATTTGCTAAGTTTAAAGTTCTGTACAAATATTAAATGCCATGTGGCATTCTTTTTTAAAAAAAAAAAAATGCATCCAAGATGTTCACTTGGTAAAATTATAAAGTTGGATAAAAGTAAGCTATTTCAAAGTTTTTCAGTAGCCCATGATTTAATGATTTAATAATTGCTAGTTTCTACAGCACTTTGCTTGACCTTTGAAAAAGCTACTTAAAAAATAAATTATAACAGTATCCTTAGTCATCAAAAGAAAACATTTCAAATAGTAGAAGAGTGAAAGGGGAATCAGCCCTGTAATCCTGCCCTGTAACCTCCTCCCTGTAACCTGCCCTGTAACCTCCTCCCTGTAACCTGCCCTGTAACCTCCTCCCTGTAACCTGCCCTGTAACCTCCTCCCTGTAACCTGCCCTGTAACCACATGAGGCAAAACCTCAGGCCACACTTCAGACAGGTATGCATTTTATTTTTATTTTTTAAAATATATTTTATTGATATTTTACAGAGAGGAAGAGAGAGGGATAGAGAGTTGGAAACATCGATGAGAGAGAATCATCGATTAGCTTGCCTCTTGCACACCCCCTACTGGGGATGTGCCCGCAACCAATGTACATGCCCCTTGACTGGAATCGAACCTGGGACCTTTCAGTCCGCAGGCCTATGCTCTATCCATTGAGTCAAACCGGTTTCGGCCAGACAGGTCAGTTTTTGAGAAATAGCTGGCGGCCCGCTGCCATAGAGGTGTCCTCTTACCCGTCCGGCTGAGACCCCGGCGATTCCCTGTGGCTCTCAGCTTTAAGACTGGCTGAGTGCTGCCCCCGTCTTCCCTCAGGAGGGGTGGTATACAATGGCGGTCAGTTGCTGGTCTCCTCAGTCCTCTCCAGCTGTGTTAAAAGTACTCTTCACAGTAACTGGGGTATACTTGGTGATTCCTGTGGTCCTGAGGAAACGGTCCAGATCCTGAGCTCTCAGCAGCGTCTCTGCTGCAGGAGATGGATCCCCAGCCTGATCCTGCTGTGTCCTTGTCATTTGTCTCTCCCCCCTCGCCCCCCTCGTTTCCCCATGTTTCCTGCCACGGTCACCGTAGGTATGAGAGGCCCTGAGAGATCAGCTGTTTAGCTTCAGAAACAATTGGTTCCATTTTTAAAAAAAATCATGTTTAAATAAATAGAAATGCAATGTAGTACACATTTCTTATCATTCTTACATCTATGGTTCTGACATATTTTAAGCATAATTTCTCTTCCTTCTCACAGACCCATTCTAAAATCAGGCAACCATTTATGAGTCTGAAATAAGCACACTGTTGTCATTTGAAAGCTCATCCCATGATTTACTGAATGCATTGCCAATTATTTCTTCTCCAGCTCACTTCTTATCCATTGTAATTTGTAGATTTGTGCAGCTGGGTCAGAGTCAACATCAGCAGGAGAAGAGCAGCCAGCAGCTCTGTTCCAGGTGCCCAGATGGAGTTATAAAATTGTGAGTACCAGATTAGACCTTTAAAAATACTCATATTCATACCATTCACCGTGCTTTTCTTCTAAGATTTTGTAAGAAGAACATTATCTTGTCACCATGTTAGTATAAGCATAAACATCTTCACAGAAAACTGGGTAGTTGTGGGGGCGAAGAAGAGATGGCAGCCTCGACTTAAAGTGCACCCCTTGGAGGTGAGATCGGCGTTGAAGGAGGCATCTCTCCATGAACTCTGCTCTCCGCAGGGGAGAGGTGAGATGACAAAGCAACTCTGACCAGTAAAGCAGGCTCTTCACGTTCGATGCTAGACAGGAGTGCCCTTCTCTTCTAACTGCAGGTCCTCACCAGTTCTGATAACTTACACTTGTAGGTTTAATAGGTGTTTAGTAAATTCTTAAACAGAACTAGTTTCATATCCTGAATCACAGCATCACAGATCTACCACTTGTTGTTTCGTTGTTGTGTTTTCTTTTATCTTGAGCAAACAACACGTTGTGTGTAGGCCAGTTTCCTCATCTGCAAAGTGGGGTACCGGTAATAATCACACCTGCTTTGTAGGTGGGCTTAATGAAAGAATACCAAGCACTTAGCACACTGTCTGGACAAAGTTCTCAGTAAGTGCTGATCATCACCTCATCATTCCCTGCCTGTTGGCACCGGACAAAGCAAAGGTTGTGGCCGGAGAGGCTCCCTGATGTCACGTGCTCAGTTGAGATCTTCCTGAGAACAGGTCTGTACTGGGATTAGTATGCACGAGGTGTTCAGATCAGTGCTTGGCATATAGTTAACATTTAGTAAAGACAATCTTCCCCTTTCTTGACCAACTTCGTCAGCTCACTAAATTATGTCCCAGATAGGAACTGCCTCACTTCACTGTGTCCTACATCCGTGTGTTTCTGATTGAGAGTGGGAAGGCTGTTATGGTCATCCAGGCAGAGGCTGCTGCCTGAGAGAGCAGCGGCTGGGAGGAGTTTGGAGTTGCGAGGGGTTCGGGAATGTTTAGGAAGTAAAATGGACAGGACGTGGATATTGACTCTTCATGGAGGAGGAGGGCCGGATCAAGGATGCTCCTTAGGGGGTTTGGTTTGTGTAACAGGTTTCATTCATTCATCCATTCATCCATTCATTCATTTAGCAGATAGGTCTTGAGTATACCTGTGTTAGGACCATTCAAAGCTGCCATTTACCAAGGTAAGGAGCACAACAGAAGGATCCCGTCTGCCTTTAAAGTAGCATCGAAGTGGACTGTGTGGGAAGCAGTTGACCCAGCTGACCTGGAACTCAGAGAGAGCCTTCTGGGAATGCAAAGGCACCTGGGTGACCATTGAAGCTACTGGCTAAGGATGAGACCACCTAGGAATGAGAGCAGAGTGAGAAAAGAACTACAGCTGAGTCTTGAGGGGTCCACTAGCCGAGACAGAGACCTGTAAGGGAGGCAGAGCTGGCGGGGGAAGGAGAACCACGGCAGTTTTTTACCACGACCTTCAAAATGGCTGCTCATCCCTTCTTTCTCTCCCTGTTACTATTATTTATTTATTTTTAATTTGTCTCCTCTTTCCTCCATTGACCTCTGCCCGGCCACTCCCATTCGCCAGCACATGCCCTCATCCTGTGTCCATTGGTTATGCTCATATGCATGCACACCAGTCCTTTGGTTGATCTCTTATCCCCTTCCCTCCCCTTCCTTCCCTCTGAGGTTTGACACTAATTTTTTTCCTCTTTTTTTAAACATACAGTCTCCAGTTAACTTAGAGACAGTTTTTCTTTCTTACTTCTAACTAGCATGTGGAAGTGTGGGCTCCCATATGAATTGAAACATATGTGGCCAAAGAAGGAAAGTATTTAAATGTGTTAGTAAAATAAGAGACTCTGTTAACCAGATTGTGTTATACAAATTGATTATCCCATTAAAATAATACAGCACAATTTAGGAGGAGAGGATTAAATGGATATAGCATACAAAATAAAAGAAAAGTCCTTTCCCCTGTTCTCTTTAACATAGGGGTTAATTTGATCTGTAAGTGAGCTTCCAGTTATTAATTTTAAATTCTTTTAAAACATTTTGTACTTGCTTTTCTGAGTTCTAACACATGTGGAAACCATGTACTAGTAGAGGTAGGTTTTCTTAATTTTCCCAATTACTTGCTAAAGAATCTAACACGAATGTGTTTTTGCACAGCATCAGCAACAGGATAACACAGAGCCTGGTAGGCTCGGCATTATGTTGTCATGGCAACTGCTCAAGAGTGTTGTTGCTGTGTGTGTACATGGGTGTACACTTTAAACTGAAACTGTAACTTACCGTAGATCTTAAAATGTCAACTAGTAATTCTTAGATTTCTAAAGCTATGACAAAACCCAGAGAATGAAGATTTATGAGATAATCGAAACTCTCATCTTGTTATGTGTTGAGTTCTACTAGATTTTAAAATGGTAATACATTTATTTTAAGTTTATATACCTACTAGATGCCCGGTGCATGAGATTTGTGCACTCGAGGGGTCCCTCTTTTTGGCCTGCACCCTCTTATAGTCTGGGAGCCCTCAGGAGATGTCAGTCGGACATCCTTAGCACTTGCCAGCTGAGAGCCCAGCTTCATAATGTAAATATCTGTGTTTTCCGATGGCCTTAGGCTCCATAGCAGGGGTCTCCTAAGACCATCGGAAAACACAGATATTTACATTATGATTCATTAACTGTAGCAAAATTACAGTTATGAAGTAGCAATGAAAATAATTTTATGGTTGGGGGTCACCACAACATGAGGAACTGTATTAAAGGGTCGAGGCATTAGAAAGGTTGAGAACCACTACCCTGCTGTCTTCTGATAAAAGAAAAGAAAAAAAAAAGCACACCAAGTTTTCAAACCCCCCCTTTTTATTTATTTATTTTTCTTTATTGATTAAGGTGTTACATATGTGTCCTTATCCTCCCATTGCCCCCACCCTCCCGGTGTCTGTGTCCATTGGTTAGGCTTATATGCATGCATATAAGTCCTTTGGTTGATCTAGCTTTTTTTCCTTTCTCTGTTCTGCTCCACTTGCACCTACGAGCAAGTGCAGAGTGGGAAGGCCTGCATGGAAGGGCTTGCTGTGCAGGGGCAGGCGGGACCAGCCTGTGCTCATTCTACACGCCTACCAGTTCTCGGGGCGTTTAGGACCAAGCAACACATGCCAATCAGTATAGGTTAAAAAGAACATGAGCACGTATATTATTAGTGCCTGCTATTCTGGTGGCTCACCTTTTCCAGGAATACGTCTCACTCATTTAGAAATTATCTCCAAGAAATGGTTCAAAATGTGACAAGTAGAGTTTGGATAAGTGCTGTCTAACGCAGGATTTTTCCAATGCAGGCTAAGGTGAAATGTAATCTAAGGTAAATAAGTGTGTTTTAGGACTGAACATTGAATTTATTGCCTAAGTACACCTTACAGAGTGAGTGCCCTGGGGACGGGCTCTGGCTGGGAAGGGTGTCTGAGGCAGTGACTGTGTTAACTCCAGGCAGTTAGCACACGCGGCTGAGGTGAGTGTGACTCCGGGGCCCTGATGAGCTCCACTTTGCTTACTTGTCATGAAAGCATTTTCAACAATGTGCCCCCCCAATCCAAGTCACTATCGCGCGCCCCCTCCCCCCACCCCCCATTGATTCCACCTAATCCCTCTGCAGACAACACTCTGGTCTCTGTGCTGCAGGCGGAATCATTTCTACCCTAATGGGTACATCTTGTTATCTTGTCTTTCCCACACACCAGGGAGTACAGTCTTTAAAGAACTAGAGCAGTTGGGAGGCCATGATCAATGATTAATCTGCTAATTCCCCCCACAGGCGGGAGCTGATAGGTGGCAGTCCTCAGCCCAAGGAGGCGGTGACCTCTGCCCTCACCTCGGAAATTACCTCAACAGTCATTGTCTCTTCATTCTGGCCTTTACTTTCCTTCTCTTTCTCCTTAACCCTCTCTGGCTTTTCCATGTTATCTTCTCTATTTCTGAATTAGCTTGTTCTGTCTCATTCCTGCTCCCCTCATTCATTTCTTTTACTTTTATTTCTCTTTCCTTCCTTCTCCTCACCATCCTCTCTCCATTCCCTCTAGGAAGTGTTTTTTTTGTTTTGTTTATTTGTTTGTTTGTTTTTTGAAATATAGTAATCTCTCCAAAACACAAGTTTCCTTCCTATATTCTGGGACATTGCTTTTCAGGCTGTAATTCTTGATTCATTAGTGGGTCATGAAGTTACCTTAGAAGGCCTCCACACAGTGCAGTGAGATAAAATGGACTGAATCTAGTCGAAAGTTCCAGTATGTGGCATGCAGTACGGTTAAGCCTTATTTCATGAAATTTTGTTTCTGTGCATAAATGTAGCTTCGTCAATACACGCAAATAACTAGGTGCATGCTGATTTGCCATGGGAAGTGGAATTCTTACTTTGGGTGACTGTCACAGGTTGGATTTATATATATTTTTTTAACTTTATGTACAACCTGTTTTATTTTGGAGACTACAAAGCATACCCTTTATGGAAGCTGTCACAGGCTCACAGAAGGTCTTAGGTTCCCCTCCCCCGACCATTAACATGGGTCTTCGTTGTTGTTGTTTCAGGAACATAGATCTCTGAAAGGTAAGATGTACTTGCCTTACTGGTAAGACACTAAAAGCATTAAGTGACATATAGCTATTGCGTGCTCCTCACTCTGTGCCAGACTAAGTGCTTCAAGACATGGTTGGATGAGATGAAGCTCCTGCCTCTGCCGGTATCCATTGTTGGGCTTCCATTGGCATTATTCCAGGTGGTGGGGAGATGTGAAGGTGTGAGCAGAGCAGGCCTTGGGACTGCGGGAAGAATACAGATCAGACAGAGACTCCTGGGCAGGGATGAATCCTAAGGGGAAGATGAAGTTATCTGGTTGAAGAAGGCCAGGAAGGCACCACTTGGAGACCCATACATAAGCCTGTGTTTCTGACACCAGAGGTAATCAAGGAGGAGGAGAGAGACGTAGGCAGGTAGA